CAAATTTATATTTCATTTATATGAAAAAAAAATTAAACCATTAATTACGTATTGCCCCAAGAGGCTGAATGTGCTTAGCAAATGAAAGGTGTGGTCCATTATTGTACATTTTAGTAATATCCCTCGACGCATTAACTTCTGTTAACTGTCAAATTACTAAATATGATTCATCAGTTAATTTATCATCTACCAATTGAATAATATATTACCTTGTTCTGCTGACAAGTACTGGGCCCATAAAGAAATGAACAAATGCTGATAGATAAATATTTTAGGCCAAATAATTTGGTCCGTGTTTGGCCGTTGTCTTAAAATAATATAAAGTTTTGTTTAATGATTTGAAACACACACTAGAAAGATTTCATCAAAATCAGTTTAGTTCAGGAAGACTTTTATTACAAACACACACGAAGATTATACAAATATATATATATATATATATATATAATAAATATTACAAAAAAAAATCAATAGCGTAAGTATTTGTAGTTTGCTAGAATTGTGTATCATCTACTATGGCACAAATATCTGTAAAGGCAACTTTGCTGGGTGCGTTCACCTTTAAATAAAAGTTGTTTTAAATTTACGATACCGCATCTGACTAACGATTATTCCCCGTTGCAAAGGCTTTTATATTGTTGGTTGAAGCAAAATTTATATTTTTTATATTCAGACTTTCAAAGGAATTTCACAATAACTAAACTTTAGTTATTTATCTATAAAAATTACTTCACATTTTCATTTCATTTTTCATTTAAAAATAATAATTTGTGTTGTTTCAAAACGAGGGCTGTCGAACACAGTGAATTAACGTTATTATGTTTTTACATGTTAATCTAAGTGTTATTATAGAATTTTATGTTAGATATAAATATACAATTTTCGGAACGAATAAATCATAAAATAAGAGATTTAATTTTAACTATTTATTTTATTTCATATTAACTTATCAAGGGTAATGGACAGTGTTAGGTGATAAATCATGTTATAAATCTTTTTAAGTGAATGAAATTTAACTATACTACTACTTTAAACTAATAATAGAATTTGAATAGTTGTGTGTAGGTAATAACTTGTAACATATAACCGAATCCTTTGACTATCTTTTGTTTTTTTTAAACTTAAATAAACGTGAATGTGTATGAAACAACCAAGCTACCTTGTATACATAAGAACTCTTAATCCCTGTTAGTTATCTTTATTTATTTTCTGAGCTTTTGTCAATTTTTCAGGTACAGTTAAACCATTCCGTCTTTGGTTTCATACAGACAATATTGAAGCGCCGGTGGACGTCGACAATAGAGGGTTTTGTCTGAACTACGTACAACAACCTTGCACAAACAATGTTATATGAATAAATAGTATGGAGACAGTCTGCGAATTTTCTTCATACAACATTACCTTAATAAATCTACACATATAAAAATATTAATGCTCTAAATTAAATTTTTGTTTTGCCTAAGTGGATTCATTAGAAATAAGAAATTCTTAATAGAAATAAATGTGAATTTATCGTTTCATTTATAGCAGTCATAGGTAGCGAGAGGCATTTGTGGCAGCCCTCGAAATATCAATCAATCGTGTAAATAATATAGAAATTTGTGTATATCCGAAATAGTTTTATTTATTATAATTATAAAAGAAATTTCTCATGTGAACCAAAAACAATAAATGCAATGCATACAAAAGTTGACGAGATTTTGATAAAAAAAAATTTAACGTTTGAAGCCTCACAATTGGCGATTCCACTGAGTCGATTTCTTTAAAAGGATTTCGTGAAAGGAGGTTACTGTAACTAGCCCGAAAAAATATTTTGTTAAGAATCTAACCCAGAATATCCATTACACGCCATAAGTATTTACCGCTAAATCACGGAGTTCGATCAAAATAATTTAAATTGTTGTGAAACATTTCTTACTACGAACGAACAAGGATGTACCTGTTGAAGCCAAATAATTACTATAATCTTAAATGTTTAAAAATGTATTCCTAAAAATCCATACACACTATATTTTCAGACTAAGCTAATGCTATAGTGTTGAACATACAATTTAAATTCCTTAAAAATAAAATTAAAAAATATGTGTATATTGTATAACTTCTATACAAAGAGTTGCCACGGGATGTGTGTGACATGATATCGCGGACTATACGAATGTGTTCACAACCTGAAGCTTGGCAGCTTTTTACCAGGGCCGTATAACTACCGTATGTTATGAATTAAATTATCGGATCCACTAGGATGATAACCAGTCAAAAAATATCGCACGTACATCGTTTAAGTTATCCACCAAGTACGCTAAGTAAACGCTTAGTAGACCGGAACCCTGACACAATTACAAGGAAGTCCAACAAAACTCCATTGTGAATTTATCTATATTTAATTGGAGTTTATTTCTTTGGCTCTCATACTCAAGTGTTCTCAGTCATCTTCGTCTTAGATTGGCATTATTATATATTGGAGTTAAATCGTTTGCAAAGAGAAAGCATCTAACATACCTACTTACATCCGGTATATCGTTCACCATTATTGCAAACTACAAGCCTTTGTACTCAAGGCACTACTGGCGACCTATTTTGTGACACGCAAAAAAATTAAAAGTTTTGAAATGAAGCCGATACATGCCAACTTATAAAGCAGTATATAGCATCTCAGACCTGCAACCCAGTGGCCATAAAAGGGATTACGTAATTAATTGCGTTCAAGAGTCTGACAAGTGCATCACAAGTTTATGAAAGTAAAATTATGAAAAATCTGTCAAGGGTTTTCATTATAAAATAGTGTTACAGAAAAGTTAATACCTATTTAAATACCCAAAATCTAACGAAATGAATAAAACATTAAACGAATTAAAATATGCGTACGTACTGGACGAATACATTACATGAAAAATATACTTAAACTAAAATATATGTGAAACGTTGTGTGTAAACCCTGAAACCCGACTCCAAAATGAATTGTAAATATTTTCCTCGACATATTACACTCTATTTCATCTGACAGTCTCTTTTGTAATAAATCCCTTTGTTTTAGTTCTTAAATATGAGAACTTTTTTTGATTTTTATGGAAAAGTTGCAGAAATAAAACTATTTACGAACAGTATTATATTTTAACTATAATAATATGAGTTATTAAAAACACGATACGAAACATCCCTCTGAAATTTAGTTTTATCTATTATTTAATCTTTACTTAAGTATTATCACCACACCTTTATATTATCATTAGTATATTTATATTTTTTGGTTACATATAACGTCATTATTTTATTTGTTTTAATAATATTTATTATGTTAAAATAACCTTTTTATGGCAATATCTTGCACTTGCAATACAGATCGACGATACAGATTGTCAATTGATTCTAGAGGCGTAATGGAAAATAGATAATTATATTATATTTATAATTTAACTAAAACTTTCGTCCTTGAAATTAATGGGCATTTCGTATTATTACAACATTTACTCAACTTGACATAAGAAACATACTCCCAAGAGCTTTACAGTATTAGGAGCTTTCGTAGAGGCTAAAACGTTATCCTCATAAAATGGCTGAAGTAAATTTATTGCATCAAAAGATGCTTAGAGGCGTAGCTGTATTTCGTAAAAAAATAACGCGGTTTTGAAAATGTTAAAATGAATTTAGGGTTAAATTCGATTTCAAACTTTTTGCTAAATATATATAAGATAATAATATAATAATAGATAATCAAATAAAAAAAACTTTCCGATAATAAATAATTTTATAATGTGAAACTGAATAGTTTTTATTTTAAAAAGCTCATATCTCAGTAACTACTTGTTTAATTTCAAATATTTTTTTATTAGATAAGACTATAAACATCTTTATAAACTATAATTAAGCTAGAGAAAATTGGTTTAATTAAAATCAGTATCAAATAATACATCTTAACAAAAACATCCCAAAATAGGTTTAAAGTTACTTCATATATATAAGTCCAACATTCCGATCGTAAAATATAAATATTACTTAGAGAATATCACGAAATAATGCTTAATCTACTCAAGATTACGCAATTAAACGTCATCCGTGTTATAAATTAAATACAGGAAGAGGAATACCGGAACCAACCAACTACAAGGCCAGAAAGTAAAGCTGTTTCAAATATTTCATCAGATGCAGCGCTAAAGAAAATTTAGTTAGTGCTTTAATCTATTACAGCAGAATAACATAGATCTTTTCTAAGGACAATCTTCAAATTTTAAACATGTTTAAAAAACACATTAATTTCGGAGCGAAGAAAATTCTTGGCACGCGTCTATCGGCGGTTTTCTCGATCCTTTGTTCAGGCGTAATAAAGATATTATCACTTTCCGAATCACGTTCGTAAAGCGACGGAGTTTTACCGCAAATCTTATCTCAAAGACTAAACAATAGAAATAACAGATTTATTTATTTATTAACTTAAAAAAGCAATCACATTTTAAATTCACGTTGAATTACTAAGACAAACAAGTAAAGTAATAGATAAGCTTTATAAACCTTATGTTTATTAAGTCTAGCTGTAGGACAAATTAAATTAATAATGTGAATTTATGTCATGTAGGTGTAACATAGTAGGCTCGTTAAAAGAAATTACTTATGGAAAATAGATGCCCCTAAGCGAGCTTTACGAAGCTTTTGCTTTAATTTGGGGTAGCTAAACTTTTCCGTCCTTTGATAAGGGTTTATTTAGTCTATGACGCCTCAGCCTCCTAGCAGTGACCTCCCCACTTTCGGCTGGGACGGACGTACAGGAAAACCGGCATCCTGGCGCGCTACTCTGATTCAACCACTATGGTGGTTACTGAAACATCGAGTGAGTTAAAAGTTTAATGAAACATGTTAGAAATAGCTTCTATTTCCCGAACCGTTTGTCAAGTTGTTGTTTCTCATATGAATTATTTATTGAAAAATTAACTTGCCCTATACGTACGTGTCAGTAGTCTACAAATTGCCTTCGGAATATTACGTTTATCATAGTAAACCGTACGCAAATGACAACTGTGTTGGAAATGTCCAGTCGCCAACATTTGTATCCAACAATAGCGACATGTAATTTTATTTTATAGGCTTATAATTTCATTACATTTTTTAAAATAATTTACGTTTTTTTCCTTTCAGCTAATGATGATAACGATTCAGAATCGAAAACATGTGGAAAGATTCTTGTTGTTTTATCGTGGATTTTAGTTGTGCTCACGATGCCTTTTTCCCTCTTCGTGTGTTTTAAGGTAAAATATTTTTTGCTGTGCTTACTTTATATACTTTTAAGATCCAATAGTTCTTATTCTGACAGATTATATACGGACGCAATTATCTATCTGTAAGCGAACGTGTTTTCGTTTAACATACAATCAAATTTGATATATGTTGTAACTTTAATTTATTAATTTTCTGCATGTAAGTAACATTTTATAATTTATTACTCATATTTTCGATATAATTTATTGTAAAAAATTGCTTTATCTTAAAGTACTATAATACTATATATAGTTTTAAACCAAACTTAACTAAATGCTCTTAAAAAACCAAAAGTATAAGACAAAATGGGTAATCATTAATTTTAAAGTTCTCATTGATGGGTCTTATTAAATATTTCTTTCTTCCAATATAAATTGAGGATATTGATTTCCCATAAAATATGATAAATAAGTACCAACTTAAGCTTGCGTTTTAATATATTTTAAAAATTTCTCGTAAACATAATCAAATAAGTCAATAGCTGTTTAGGCACTTAACCTAGTTAGTGAAAATTTCTCAATAAATTAGCTTTAAATATGGGGTGTATGATTTTTTTGTTTGAATGTATGGATCTAAGCGATAGTAACATGTATTTTGGTGCTCTCCTTTCATAAATATTTTTGGGCATTGGGCATCATATCAGTGTTGTAGGCTTTTTAAACCGAAACAATAATTGTATTACCAAGTATCGAACACAGTGCGACACGCAATATATACCTAATATATAAATTCATTCGTTTTTGTAATAGCTTTTCATTGCCAGGTCATTTTATGAACGTGGTAATGAGCTTTCAAAAGATATTTAGTATTTATTTCTTTGAATGCAGTGACTACCCTACGAACAGTAGCCATTAAACACTGACCCACATACACAAAGTAGACTTACGTAGCAGGTTAGCTTAATGCTGAAGCGAGTCGCATTGAATAGAATAGCATACGTTTGCATTTAAATTCAAGCGAAATTCTAAAATTTATTCAACCCACAATCGAATTACGCTTGCATAGATCGCGAAACCAATAAGATCAGAAAATCTGTGCTTACGAGCTTTAGAATTTTAAATATGCATTTAATCTCGCAATATGAGAAGCTTTAATATTTAGATCAAGTACCGCACTTGAATAGAACTAGGAAATTTTTATGTACAAAAATCTTGTATATGATATTTTTAGACTAACGTGCTTGAGTTAGATTATCTTTGATAGTTTCAAGATAGCTTTATAAGTGGAATCGCCTGACATCTTGCAAATAGGGCAACAGTTTCATCATAATATATGGCACAGGCAATCCCAATAGGGTTCATTGCGAGCGATACGAGCGCGCTAAAAAGAATAAATTACTTGGCTAGCAGAAGACTGAAACTAAGAGCTGAATTATAAATTACAAAAATTTCCTTTGAAAGCCAAGCAAACACTGTCGTGTGTAATTGGAGTCACCTTGGTTTTAGCTAAAGTAGGTTAATGTTAATTACTTGAATTATGTGTCTAGCGTTCTCGACCATATGAATATGTAGATAGAATAATTAGAAGATAACCATAGTTACAACAAATAATGCATAATATACGACTGTAATATGCGAGTTAACAAGATACTAAGGCTATGTTCACATGTAGCGCGCGTCAACGCCCGATCAAATTTGAAGAGAGTTCAGAAGATCAGCGCTAATGCGCGTTGCGAGAGTACTCGTCAGTCTAGTTCGGTAAAACGTAGAAAATGGACGTGGAAGAGGCTATTATTTTGTGGTTATATTATAAAGAAAAATATAGAAAAAGAAAACGTACACATTGGGTTCATCCAATTGTGAAAAATAGACCCAGTTTGTTATAAATATAATTACGAAAATTAACAAAATTACATGCGATCGCGATGAAAGCGCGCGCTTAACTGAACAGCATACGGATTACGGACTTTACATTAACATCAAAGCGCGCGTCAACGCGCGCTCATGTGAACAGTTGTATGAAAATACCATAATGTCTAGTCGCGTGATTTGAAAACGCGCGTCAATTTTTTGCCATCTGAACATAGCCTTAATGTACTATTTATAAATAGAACAATATACATAATATATATTCTTTCTAGTGCACAGAATAAGTTGTTATGATCATGTTCATGTCATTATACATAAAGGCATACTTTGTTTAAGCTCTCAGTACCTAGTTTATAAAAAATGCCAGCTGGAATTACAACGAGGCGTAGATGTTTTACAGTTCTTCATAGGCAGTTCTTTTTAACCGACTTCTCAAAACCTGCAGAAGGTTCACAATTTGGTGTGTAATATGTTTTTCTATACAGATATCTCGTATCAGTTACGACGAGATTTTTCAGATGAAGAACCCGTGCGTGTATTATAGAAAAACTGTAGATTTTAGATTTATTAATATGATTTATGAGTATGCAAACAGTTTGTATTGACAACTTTTAAGTTACAAAGCGTCCAGCCTTGCGATTCTGTAACTCACTTTTCGAACTCACACAGCGGTTTTCGCATCGGCGGTCGCTCTCAAATCAGTCGTGAAGCAGTCATTTCATGATTTGGCATTCTGATAAACAATAAACTACAAGCTCCCACCTTTTCAGAATGCTAAATCATAAAATGACTGCTTCACGACTGATTTGAGAGCGACCGCCGATGCGAAAACTGCTGTGTGAGTTCGAAAAGTGAGTTACAGAATCACAGGGCTGGGCTGTATTAGAACGAACTTTGCATATCACTTGAATGCTAAAACCATTCTAAATCATGCTACACGATCCAGGGACTGAGTTAAAAACACTTTAAGATGACGTGACATATTAACGTCAAAATATTTTTTATGAGAATGCACACCAGGGCTGCCAGGTGAAAAAAACGCATGATCGTACACCAACTATTAAAAAATCGTACACCAAGGAAATTTTGAAACGAAAAGATCGTACAACAAAAAAAGTGGAAAGTTTTTATTTAAAATAAGTAGCTGCCTTTGCCTTGAAGAGTGTTACTTTAAAACTCCATATTCTGAAACTATTTCGACGTCACACACAGTCCACCTGGCTTTAAATTGGTTTTTACCGGGCCCTAACCGGTCCGTAAATAAATCAAATTTTTCCCGATCGGGACGTTACTTCTGTGCTCTGTGTTTGTTCCTCAATGACCTGTGTTGTAGAAAGCTCTCCTCTTTTGGCTAATTTCTTTTTTGGAGTACCTGGCGCAGGTCGGTCTTCTTCATTTTCACTACCCATTCTTGCTTAAGCGTATAGCACAAAAACCCCTAAAGACAATATGCAGATCAAAAGAGGATAGTATAATCACTTAGAGCTAGAGACTGATGAGAAAAACAGGTTTTTGACTATTCCAATACAGGTATTTACAAGAGAAAAATAATAAGTTTTGTTACAATGCACACAAATATAGACTTCATATAAAAAAAGGGTCTTTAGACGTAAAAGGTCTAAGCATACGTTAGGTTGTTGGGGAAATCCCCGAACATAATACTTGCCGGTGGAGTATATATTCGTTTCATTACGAAATGTTGCCAGGTACAGAATAATCGTACATTTTATGTACGATCTTGGTCTAGCGATCGTACATGAGTAAAAATGACAAAAAATCGTACAAGTACGATTTAAATCGTACATCTGGCAGCCCTGATGCACACAAGAGTGAGTTCCCTTGAATATTCCAGTTTATATGCATTTTATTAAAAATGCATATTACCATCTTTAACAAGCTAGTAAGCGTCATGTTTAAATTCCGAGCGGTCTATTTCTAATTAAAGGTACCAGAAGTTATTATATTATTATTGCTTTTAACTTCTTTCATTTACAAAAAAACCTTTTAATTATTTGAAATATTATATCAACGAAGCAGTGGCAATTAAACACTTTATAATGTTTACAGGTCGTTCAGGAATACGAAAGGGCTGTTATATTTCGGTTAGGACGGCTCCTCACAGGAGGGGCTAAAGGTCCTGGTAAGTACCAATACATATAAAGCTTTTTATTTCGCCAAGAACGTGGATTTAGCAACAGCGGTTTAAATATAATATTTTCACTCACAGGTATATTTTTTATTCTACCATGTATTGACTCCTACGCGAGGGTAGACCTAAGAACTAGAACCTACGATGTGCCACCTCAAGAGGTAAGATTTCATACTTTTAGTTTGAAATTGTTTAAATATAAGGATGATAACTGTAAATGCTTTGCTAAACAACTTCCCCGGTGTTTTGAAAGCTGAAAAAGAGGCTTCTTTATTAAGCTCTAATTGTATTTTCAACTTTATAAAAAAATTATATATAAAACTAGCTGACCTGGCAAACGTCGTTTTGCCATGTATATCATTTATAATAAAATATAGGGGTTGATCGTAGAGGGGTTGTATGTATTTTTTAATGCTGTATCATAAATAAATAAAATATAAATTTTATCTAAAAATAAAACATTTAGGGGTGTACTACCCTTAACATTTAGGGGGATGAAAAATAGATGTTGTCCGATTCTCAGACATACCCAATATGCTCACAAAATTTCATGAGAATCGGGCGATACGAGAATTTTATATATTAGATTAAATTCAGACTATTATATTATATAGTGTTCAGTATTTGGTTGGGTCTTGAGTATAGAGTTGGAACCATCTTGGGAATCGGCCTTTTTTTACGCATCTGCGGCATTTTGCTCAAGCAGGGATTAATAAAAAGTTAATTAGTAAATTAAGTCCCGCTTTAACATCGTTTACAACTTACCCCACTAAAACCTGACGGATGCCTTCAGCTCGCCAATGGGCGTAGGCAATTAACAGCTGAGCCCTATCCTTACGCCAAACGCGAATATCGACCTCCTCCAGTGTTTTTCGACACTTCCTGCCATTGCTTGCTATGCAATGGATGAATTATGATGGTACTTAGTGACAAGAAGAGGCAAAAAACATTATATGTAAAGCATCATATTTGTTTCTTCAGTTAGGTAGAAATATCATAAAAATAATGTAATAAAATGTAGACCTCCGTTGTGGTCGGTTGATTTTGTATTTGTGTACTTTGTCAGTCGACTGTTCAGATATCTATTAAAGTGAAATGCACAGATGCAATTACTCTATAGACTTGTAACTGGTTATTGCAACGGTCATAAAATAATTATTATAATAATAATAACAAAAAATCTAGGTCTAGGTCTTTGATTTGACGAAATAATCGCGCTAATTACTTTGAAATACGAAAACATTTCTCTTTGCTTTCACTGGAAAAGTCCATTTATGTTGGTTTAATAATTTCAGTAGAATTCATAGAAATCGCGATTCCAAGGTTACGTAATTAAAAACTCGCGGTATTAATTTTTCCTTTGGACCGTTATAAGAACGGTGGTTGGAATAGTGGCTTGCACGTGCAACTCTCTACCCTGGTCGAGTGTTCTAAACACGGCTGTGCACTAATGGGATTTTCTTTCTGCATTTAATATATAGGCTCGAACTTGCCTCCATTAATTTGAATCGATTTAACAACTCTTACAGGGCAACCTAATAAATTTAATTTAAATGGGAAATTAGCATAACACTTAAATTAAAACATATCTATTTCTGTCAAATATCCAAATCGAAAAAGGAGTTGAACCAACAAGCTTACCACATAACTAAAATTACATACATGGCAATACCCAAATGATGTCGTCGCGATGTTCGTAGCGCTAATGTCTTGCTACAAAAGCAGAATATAGACACTGGATAGCTATTGAAGTTACGCAGTAAGCTTGCTGCGAATATGAATACGTTTATAATTATTCAACAGGTACTCACAAAGGACTCCGTTACTGTATCTGTGGACGCTGTGGTTTACTATAGAGTGCATAATGCTACAATTTCCATAGCGAACGTAGAAAACGCTCATCATTCGACACGCCTCTTGGCTCAGACCACGCTTCGTAATACTATGGGCACTAGACCCCTACACGAAATATTAAGCGAACGGGAAACCATTTCAGGAAATATGCAAATCTCTTTAGACGAGGCAACAGAAGCATGGGGCATTAAGGTGGAACGAGTTGAAATGTACGTATTCAGACATTCTAATAATAAACCATTAAATTGATAAGGTTTATTGTCGTTGTATTAACTTAAGCTGCGTTAATAAATTATGAAGAGAAACTAGATATACGACCGCAATCTCATGATGTTAAGTAAGATGAGCCCTATTAAAGAGCACGCCTCTCAAAGTGTCTATACATAGGCAGTTTAAAAAGCTTTTAGAAACCGGGGAAAATAAAATAAGATATTGTTTAACTCATTGCTTATTTAACAAGAAAACACAATCCATTTAATGCAGGCGCTACGGGATATCATAACGTTACTTAGATATCAAGTGTTATTCTACACGTGGAGACTTTAGAATCGGGATTCCAATTCAATTTTCCGTAGCCATGACCGTTTAATCTGGATTTATTTCACAACGAATTAAGTTTAGTTTAATCAAGTTTCATATTGGCACACAAGCCTGATACTGGCCTTTAAAGGTTGGTTACGGACTTGTATCATAATAATCTTATAATACAGACAAAATGTGATTTTATATTGGACTCGACTATGTGGTTGTTCTGTTTCACTTTAGTAAATTAACATTAAAATTACGCGCACTATATTTTCGTATGTAATTAAATCAAAAGGGAAAATCAATACAAAACAATAAACGACTACATTATTCATGCGAGGATATACAGTAGCTACTTCAGTATGCTACTACTACCTACATGCGTAATTAATATGAAAGAAAATGAAGGCTTCATTTACCGTTGAAATGTTTTTTTTACATTGTTTAATTTTCATTTTTATGGCATTATTCAACATCTATCATCAAAGATATTATAGTTATTTACTTCATGCATAAAATATTACTTATGACTCTATATTTAAGATGCAAATTGACGCAACCTCGTGCGTATTAATTAAAAATGTATCGATTTAGTCAAAAACACATTGTTTTATTCTCTGAACATTACTTACCAGCCGCGCCCAACAATAAAAATCAGTTGATTTCTTATTTTGACCCACTTCAATAACCCTAAGATGGGATGGCTTACAATTCGATACGCATAGTTTTCTACATCAACGGTTAATCTCTCGGCCGATGTGATAATATCAATTTAATAAAAAATGGCTCACGGTCTTCATACTATAAATTATCATTATTATGTATTTAACTGTTGTATTGATATACCTACGGCAAAATATCATTAATTAAAAGTATTATTTTTTCGATTTCGGATTCGTGTAATTTAAAAAAGGTTTTTGTTCCAAAAACGTTAAGGACATATATCACAAAGAAAATACAATACAAGAAGTTTCGTGCCATTTCAAATTCTCTTCTTCAAATTCTTTTCAAATCTAATAAATATTACACTTAAACCGTTTATAAAGATGGGACTTTTATTTTAACTTAAGCAAATTTATAATACTATAATTGGGTTTAAACTTAAATTATACTAATGTACTAATAAACCGTTAACTGTAGTACGAGTATATTTGTTACATGTATAATTTTGTTTGAGAAGTAAGTAATAGCCGTCTCAATATTTCAACCACTACTCCACAGAGGCCAGAAAACCGTACAAAAATCTTTTCGGTTTTTAGTATAGACGCGTCTAGGGACATAATTTTATATTATGAAAAGATTTACAAATATAAATACAATGCTTTCGCCAATCAATATATTTGTCATTTGTATGTAATCTAGGCCAATGGCAGCATACATGGACATCCAACACGGAAGTGTAGAGGCAGCTAATTTATTCAATAATCACCCAACATTAAATCAACATTTCAATTTAAAAATAGCCGCCAAGTCTACATTTGTGATATTTTTTATTAAATATCGTACATTAATGTGCTAAGTTGATTAAAAGCGACTGGCAATCCTCCAATCTCTTATTCCTCATCTGGAAGTTTGACATATCATTTTATAGGCAACCATTGCTCGCAAAAATTAATAAATAATCAGATATCGTTGATATAAATTTAAATAAAGCCTTTTCACTTCAAAATTTCCACTTTAGTAATTTTTTTGAGATATTTCATCATAAAGATTGACAATAACGCGCGCCGGCTTTCACATCCTAGTTCCATTTCGAACGGGAAACATTCATTTTCCCGGAACGCTGACCTAAATCGAAAAACTATGTTGAACATACAGTTGATACATGGCTCTTGTTATCATTTTTTGGATATCGTACAGTCAAATAACTTTGCTACTTACAAACCACAAGCCCATGAACAAAAAATACCTGTGAAATGACCCAACCTGAATTACGCTTAGAAGGCTGTTACTATATCTGAAAATAGCTCTGAGCACTATGCCGTCATTTCTAAGCGGTACATGTGAGTACGTGAGTGAATGGACTTTCTCATGTACAATGGGGGAATTTCGACTAATTATTAATGTACGGCTTTGTTATAAGTGTATAGATGATTAAAAATAAATGTCGAAAAACCTAGTGCCGTACAAAAGTGATGGTGCCGGAAGTCGGTGCAAATTTTTAATTCGACGACAGTTGCAGGAGCAATATAGGTCATTTATTACTGTACGGCATTTGTGTCATTCCTTTTGGACACATATACAGATACTTTACCCGTAAACGCCGTACATATTTCCAGCGGAGCGGTCGAAAGCCAAGGGTCGGAACCCTACCCCTACACCCATATACCCTAAGGTCATTGTAAAATGTACGGCAACATGTTCAAAATATTATTTAACACGGACAATAATGTTTTATAATTATGCCGTCCAAATAATATAGTTAATATTTGTGTAATTAAATATTTATCGAAATTTCAGGATTTACCAAGTTCTTACTGCTGTAAGATCAGAGAATAATGTACGGCAACTTGTTTTTTTACATAATGTTACTAAATATTACCGTTGTACATTATAGCCGTTCATTATAAATGGTAACAAATAAAAATATTATGATAAAAAATATATGAAATTTCCGAAATTTAGATGACTTTTCAAATGCTCCTAGAGTAATATGGGGAGTAATATTTTCAAAGATTATTGTTATTTTATATGTAACAAATATAAATAAACAAAAAAAACCAGATGCCGTACATTTTACTCCAGATTATTCTTTACAGCTGATAAAAACTTCGACGACGTTTGAGGTGTCCCTTAAGGTCATTAATAACTGTACATATCTGAGTATACTACCATAAGGCTGTAAAGTATATTTACAGCCTTATCGTACCAGCAGAGAGAGGTAAAGGAAAAATATTTTTAACAAAAATATATATAATACAGGGCGTCCCAAAGTTATGAGACATGAAGGGAAAGTACCTTAAATATCGCAGATAGGGTATTTTACTAAAAGAAGACTTTATGTTATTTATAAAAGTTAGTAATTCTGCATTCAAAGATTTTTTTAAAACTACTTGCCTCGTCTGGAAATCGAACCGACTTAAATTAAAAAAAAAACACCCCTACTTTTATGATGCCAATCGAAAGAATGGCCAAAACCTAATAACTTTTCTAAAGTAACAGACTCGTAGGGGATTTTTTTAGGCCGAATACGATAGATAATGTTTTTAATTTGATTAAAAAGATATATTCACGCTGTTCCTTTCTTTTAAAATACTATGTTACTTAAGAAGAGTTATTAGTTTTTGGCCATTCTTTCGATTGGCATCATAAAAGTAGGGGTGTTTTTTTTACATTTAAGTCAGTTCGATTCCCAGACGAGGCAAGTAATTTTCAAAAAATCTTTGAATGCAGAATTAATAACTTTTAAAAATAACATAAAGTCTTCTTTTAGTAAAATACCCTATCTACGATATTTAAGGTACTTTCCCTTCATTTCCCATAACTTTGGGACGCCCTGTATTGGTAGGCGGTGGTAGCGGACTATCGAAAGTGTACGGCATTTATCTTTTATTGAAGATTGTCTAAAGTATTAATAACCTGTGTTATTGCCGTACAGATAAAAGTCACCGGAAAATGACCCTTTTCTGAGAAAAGTAATTTGCCCCATACACCTATGTGTTCCACAAAAAATGTACGGCATGCTGGAAAATGTTATCTATTTGTGAAGTACTCTCAAGATCATTTAATTTTATGTTGATTCATATCATCATCACCTATATGCTAATCAGACATATGTTGCGACCCTTGGCTTTCGACCGCTCCGCTGGGAATATGTACGGCGTTTACGGGTAAAGTATCTGTATATGTGTCCAAAAGGAATGACACAAATGCCGTACAGTAATAAATGACCTATATTGCTCCTGCAACTGTCGTCGAATTAAAAATTTGCACCGACTTCCGGCACCATCACTTTTGTACGGCACTAGGTTTTTCGACATTTATTTTTAATCATCTATACACTTATAACAAAGCCGTACTTTAATAATTAGTCGAAATTCCCCCATTGTACATGAGAAAGTCCATTCACTCACGTACTCACATGTACCGCTCAGAAATGACGGCATAGTGCTCAGAGCTATTTTCAGATATAGTAACAGCCTTCTAAGCGTAATTCACGTTGGGTCATTTCACAGGTATTTTTTGTTCATGGGCTTGTGGTCTACTTACAAACCAACTATTATTAAGGCCTGAAACGATGAATTGACATCAACCAATGACATGAGCTTCAAAAAAATGTATATTGACGTGTCAAATAAATTATAACTCGTTATAATTTATTTTATATAATATTTGTGGAGACTTTAAGTTTCCTGTTTACTGTCGCTGTTCTTTTGGATATATCTTCAGGTATTAATATTTATGATGCTTACTTATATTATATTATAAGTAACTAGTTTTTAGCAAAAAAAAACTTTTATGGATTTTTTTATAAAGTGCGTACCTAATAAGATAAATTATTTTTAAGTTTTAGTATTAAATTTATTATAAATCGAAACAATATAATATTATTTAATGTCTATAAAAAATTGAATATATGTTATTAATAATAGAAACTGGGTATCCACGAGTTCAAACTAACAAATGTTACGAACTGCACTCGGAAATATTATTTACACAGATTTAAAGTATTTAATTTTGATACATTTTCTAAGAGTATGTTTTGAAACTTCACCACTAAATATGGATACTAAACATTGAATTTTATTGAAAATTTAGAATTGAGTATACAAATTACAAATATTATTTAAAAAGTATATTATATGATGGTTCAAGCAAGACGCAAAAAATATTTTATTTTATTTTCTATATATATATTAACAGTAAGGATGTTCGCTTGCCCGTGCAACTGCAACGAGCAATGGCAGCAGAGGCAGAAGCGGCGCGGGAAGCTCGAGCCAAGGTGATTGCTGCTGAAGGTGAGCAGAAAGCGGCGCGAGCCCTTCGCGAAGCCTCTGAGGTTATCGGTGATAGTCCCGCTGCTCTACAACTTCGTTACTTACAGGTAAATCTTGAAAAAATATTGTGATGATGTGAGGCGTGGCACCGTGATTGTAATTAGTTAACAGAAGTCAAGAGTCTTGTTGTTTATACGTATTCTACGTTTTCGTAGACAACATAAGTATATCTATAAACAAATCAGATGCTAAAGATGTATTTTCATTATTCTATTTAAAATCGTTTTTATCTTTATATATACCTAGTAACTCATATTTTAACGAAAACATTATAAGCTTTGAATAGTTATAGAGACTATTGTATAACGTTTATATTCAAATCTACAGCATAGTAATGACTAAATATTAAATTACTATTCGAGGCTTTTGAAATTTGTGTTGTATTGATTAAACTTAAATGAATATTAGGGATAATTTGTGTGCCGCCTAGTACTAAGTATCGCTTGTATTAAATTATGCGTCACGTTTAATAATTATTCATTCTTACGTAAGCCGGAATATGATGACGTCTAGGTCATTCGATCAATTCAGCGGATAGTATTACCTTTTGTAAAAAACCTTTTAAGTCTGGTTTTGTATGTTTCATGATCATTTGTTTTTTCTAATAGGCAATTAGGTGATCGGCCTTCTGTGTCACACGCCGTCGACGTTTTGGTCCTAAACATGACGTCACACGGTGAAGCCACAAGGCAAACACTGCTCACAATTTTAAATTTAAAACAGGTTATATAAACAAAATTTAAAATATTTGTTACAGACGTTGAACACAATATCTGCTGAGAAGAACTCAACAATTGTATTCCCGCTGCCCATCGATCTCCTTACTTACTTCATAAAGGCTAAAGAGTATCCATCTAATTAAGTGTATTTGGCAATTGCTACATTAATGATTATAAAAAATTATCTCATGTTAAATATAAGCAAAATAATATGTACCTTTCCTAATCAGAATAATAACTGGACAAACCAAACGACGTTAGTACAAGATTGATCGAATTGACGAAACTCGACGGTTAAAAGCTTAAAAACAGAAAAGCTTCAAAAAAACCAAATGTTTACAAAGTCATACTAAGCTCTAATTCTCGACTTTGAATTAAGATAAGATTCATATATTCCCTATAATAATTAATGCCTCCTTACATCCAAAATCTGGACACCTTACGTATGATTTCGAAACTGGTATGCTGTACTGGAAAATATTGGAGGAGATTAAGGCCATAATATTTAATGACGAGTGTAAATTAACATGCCGTGCAGTTTTCGTTTATTTCATCAAGCTTGTACTGGCCCTACGATAATTTAAAATGTAGTTTTAATAAAATATCAAGTGTAAAAAATTACACGACTCTGCTAAGTTGATGTTAATAAGCTAATGTTTATATATCAGTGTGCATCGATTATTAAAGTTCGTATTTGTAAAATAAATTCATGTCATGTTGCTTCGACCATATTTCTCTCTTTATGTAAATCAAATTTTTAGATAAGTCTGCTAATTTATGAATAAAATGAGTTTAAATACATTTTTATTTTATTTCTACGTCATGAGATAGAGCTGATAAAGTTTATGAGATACACATTCAGTTTTTATTTAAGTACAATAATTAACTGCTTTAACATGTACTGAGGAACATAATGGTTGCTTGCAAACATTTTGTAAAAAAAACCTTGGTGGTTGGAAGAGTGAAGGAAAGTTTCTTGCCAGTTCTTCTCGTTCTACGCTTGATTTAGGTACTGGCAGTAAATGTAAGTTTGGAAGCATTAATTTTTTTACTGACGTTCACAAGCGTATCTTAAGTAGGTAACTAATACATTAATAAATGATGTCTATATTTTTTCCCTAAAAATTCTTTAAAAATTATTAATATAATCCTTATAGTAATACAAATATAAAACATAAGATCGTGATGAATAGTACATAAATCAGTGTAAAGTGTATCCTTTAACAGACAACTAAATTCTAAAAGAAAAAAAAGTTAAAAGAAGTGTGTCAGTATGTAGAAAATGAACAATATGTCTAATATTTTTCTTATCTGTGTCTTGATTTACTAAAGTTTTGCATGCAGCGGAGTACTTCATGAATATCGGAAAGGCTTTTTGTTTCTGGTACAAAATCATATGGCGTAGAAACTTCAGCAACATCAACTGTTATAGTATCAATTATTTCATTGCTCTTCAAGTGCATGCCTATATTCAACTTAAAATGTATATGCCCATTTCTAAAAATAATATAAATATTCTCTTGATCTATGATCCTCAAAGAAAAAAAATCATTAATTTTTACAGCCTTCATTCGTATTTTATATGATGTCATTTTTTGCATTATTTTCTGAGCTTTGCCTCTAACGAAGTTTTCAAATTCAATCGCTAACATGTCTTCATCGACTTCTTTAGAGGTATTGTCATTATTAAAAATCATTAAATCATCAGGTATAATGAAGTTTTGTAAAAGTGAATCATCTGTTACTTTATTATCCATGTAAACATTTTGTAAAACAGGGGGATCGTTTAGCGAATGCCATTTCCATTTACTTGGAGCGCCAATTTTATTATCAATAATAATTCCCTCTGATTGATTGTATTTTATCCTGAAAGAAATATATTTAAGTGGTTATTCAAAAGCTAATCAAATTTTGTTTTAATTTTGTACCTGGCGTTTCCGGACTGATCATAAACAACACCGTTTCCTAAATAGTCAAAACAAGCCAAAATAGTCAATGGCCTTCTTGTATTCTTTACGTCGACATAGTCATCTTCGTTTAAGTCATATATAATATACCTATACTTATCACTACGACCTGTAAGAAATTGTTTTAGTAATCTTTGTAAAATGATGATGCATAATACATTCCTCACTTTACTTAGACAATTATCAATGTCAACAAATAGAGACTTCCAAGTAACATCAACTCAGGTAACAGAGAAAATACATGATTAAGTTCCTCTCGGCTAAAAAGGCGCCGACATTTAATACGACCACGAAAGCACCTGTTCTTACCTTGGCTATTACAATAATGGAGTGCAACAGAACCATTTTTATAAAACCATTTACCACCGCAGCCATTTTCATTTATTTCTGCTAAAATCTCCCTCGTATCATAGAACATAGCTCTTTTATGTGCATGACTCTTAAACCAATCGAAGTGAGGATTTGCTGGCTCCATTTTATATATATTCATCTGATGAGAGTACAAAATATATATATTTGTTGTGTATACCAAGATACTGAGATTTAATTCGGACGTAAAATATTATACGTACATACTTCTTATTTGTGTTGATAACAACAGACGAGGTCTGTTTAAATAGATGAGGTTTGATCAACACCGTAAAGTTGTATATATAAATCAATAACTAAATATGGCTTAGTACTTTATTACTGTGATAATAAGAAATATAGGATTTTCTTATAATAGAAACTGTAAAATCATGGGCCTTATCGAATCTCGATAAAATCAAGCTTTTACACATTAGACAGAAATTACGTACGAGATTGTAGGTACGTCTCCATGGAACAATTTTATGATCCTCCTACCATTAAACCGAGAAAAATTATAAATGTTTATATGGTATAGTACTACATAACTGCTACTTGTCTACTTAAAAAATCTAGAAACCCTTCTCATAATTTTCGTGGTTGGCAACATAGTCCATCCTTTATCAATAAATTCTTTCTTTGAAAGTGCGTATTTTGTTATTCCCTTACCCATCTAAAAAACGAACGATTAATGAAGACCTATTTTATGATTTAGTTACAAAAAATGTTTAACTTAATATATAATATTATATTATGTACTAACTAAACGACTTTTAGGCATCTCTTCCATTAAACTTTCGGATGAAGATGAGGTTTTTGAAGTTTCGGATGATGATTCAACTGGTGTAACGCATTGAATTTGATTTTTAAAGAGGATAGGTTCCAGTGTAATAGGGTCTTTTGTTTTCATGCGCTGATCTCGAGATACCATCCGTGTTCCACGTATCATAACACGCGGTAGACTATCATGAGGCGTACACACTAAAGTACTTCCTGCGGTTATCAAATGTGCGTCAGATCTCCGAGGTTTAGGTGGACGAACTGGCAATTCAGGAAGAGGATCAATCTTCGGCATATTTTTCAAAATACGTAGAGTAGATTTAGTTCTTCCTGCCTTTAATTTTCCTTCTTCTTTGTGGATTTTTATTAATTGCAACATAAGTTCATATTCTGGATCAAGTTTATATTTTCTTCCTTTTGTTTTTTCCGGTGACGTTTTGGTATTTGTTTTTTCATCTTCACTAAAATGATAAAATTAAATATTATTAACTGCCATAATACACTGTTGTCATAATTTTATATGGGGAACTTACTTCAATTCATCATCTTTACCGCTTTTTTTAAATGAACTTTTATTTTTTCTACGATCTGAAACCATTTTAGAATCTTTTAGGGCCTTTTGTTTTGAGAGATAATCTCCGTCACCATCTAACATTCCTGTAATTCCTAGCTTCAATGCATCATTCAGTTCTGAACTTTCGATCTCTTTGTCTTTAATAACTGGTAGCTCCAGGGAAACTTTAGGATGCATGCGTTCATTTTTTCGTTCGTTAAAATATCTACACATACATGTACTTAAAACGGATGCAGAGTCTTCTTTTGACACTTTTTCTAAGCTTATTTCATTTATTATTTCTAATAAAACATTTTTCGTTTCGTTATCCACAGAAAGTGGCAGTACAATCTTCCTGGAAGGAAACGTATCTACGCGAGGGTGGATCGTTGGCGATGGCATTTTCAGTAAATTGATAAGTTTCCTAAGTTCCGGATCTGAATCTCGAACAAAGCAAACCCTATGTGGACAAGTGTTTTGTACATCAATAATTGTCATTAGAATATTTTTCACAGTTTGCCACCAAGCTGCGTATTCATCTCTGAGACTTTCAGTTTGCTGTACTCTACATGATATAAATCTCTCCAACATGTATTCACATCGCTTACACTTCAATTTTACATTAGATCGCTTACAATGGTCGCATATAGCCAAAACTTCATTTTTTCTTATAATATCTATATTGTCTAGCAGATCACGAACTCGCTGTATTACCTTTTGACATTGGTAACATTTTGTTTTGTATTGACCTGGGGAAATTTAGGTTAATTTTTTTGTGTAATATACATTTATTAAAAACAACATCACATAAAGTAAACTGGAATAAAAATAAAAATGGATTTATTCTACAATCCTACTTAGTAACATAGTGAGCTTACTATTATTTATTAAATTATAATTCATTTTAATATAAAGACATGACTGACTTACAAAGTTCTGCAACATAATTAAATTTTTTCAATTCCTTGAGACCGTTGTTGTGTAATATAATACTAGCTATGTTTTTGTATCTTATGTTTTTGACTGTTGAAAATTAAAAATTATATATTTTTTCAATACATATCCTAAGATATGTTCATTAGTTACTTCAAATCTCACCGAATTTTCCGAATAAATTACGAGTCCAGAGCTCTTAAGATTCACAATTTGCTTGAATTCATTATTACAAGATTCTTTACATTTTAAACAGCAGCGCATTTTATCACTGTAACAATAATTTTTCTAATTAGGTTACGAATAGCTTATATAAATATATTTCTGTTGAGATTGATTGATTATAAAAAAAAACCTTACAATGAGTAATCTTAAAATAGGCATACAAACCTTCATATCAATAATCATAATGTCATAATAATAAGAACAGTTTAGATATTTGTAATAGTTGTCAAAACTGATGACCTAAAAACTTCCACATTATAAAGCCACCTTGCCTTGCGTATTAAGGCAAAGCGTCATTACACGGCAGTGAAACTTCTGGGAAGGTGATTAAATCATTTGATAGACATGGGCTACCAATTTTTAAAATACATCATGGTGCTACAATTTGCTGGCACCCACAGCCGTGTTGAATTCCTAGGCAGGCAAGTTTCTTTAAATATTTTGAATGATTTTGGATACTTATAATCATTACTGCTTCTTGAATATATAAACTTTAAATACTGTCAAAATACCAAGATCGTAAAAAAATGGTCTACAGCTTATAAGCAAATACAAATTAATTAAAGCACGTACGTATCAATAAAATTTTGCTGTTTGCCTAGAGATTTGTTGATACAGTTTCTTCAATTGACTCGTTTTTATAGGTAATTTTGAGCTTATCGGGTCTGCTATTATTATTTTTCCGAAATTGTATAGTTTACTTTTCAGCCATTCCGTGACATTACGAAATTACATCTATACGATATAATCCGCATGAAGAACGCATTTGTTAGTTAGTAGATAAATTCGGTAAATCATTAATGTACAGAAGAAAAAGTAATGAGTCTTAGTTTTAGTCGTAGAGTTTAGGAGTTACCTGTGTTACCTGTTGAAATCACACATACTTCCTGTATGTGTGATTTCAACAGGTAACACTTTTCAAAAAGAATGCTATAGTCAACGCAATCGAATGCTTGGCTCATGTAAAAAAAACCTACAGATACCTGCTAGTCTATTTTCCACAATTATCTTAATTTATGGGATATAATGAAAAATCTGATAGGGTGATATTTTTACATTTGACTTTTGAGTTCATCATTGTTATAACACTGAATTTGCCTAGAAACGAACTATTGTCCATAAGTTTCTCGAGCACTTTAGCTAAAGTTGGTATTAAAGTTATAGGTCTGTAATTTCTAATATCATCTATGGTACCCTTTTTAAACATGGTGTCACAATTTATAGTATTAATCAGCTAGGAATGATACCAAGATAGCGAATAGATGTGTTAAAGATTATCAAATATGAGTTAAACTCGGTAAAATGGAACGACAAAGAGCATTTTATCCGTCGCCAAAAATAGTTTGTCTTTGTAGGGTTTGGTTATTGGGATACAGATAGGAGGTCGATCGACTGTTTTCTAATCTCAGATTGTTTTCAATCTGAGATTGTGGAGTAATTATTGGGTTCGGGCGCTAGTTGTTGTGAGGAGAATTTTAGCACTCCGGTGGTTATTGAGTCATATGTTGCAGCTTTAGAATTATTAAGACTTCTTACAGCTTTGCTATATCGTCACATGAATATGGTTTTAGAAATAAGGAAGCGCTAAATGAGTGAACGTAGTAGGTTTATTTGCTGTCGTTTTATTATAAATTTAATAGTTGCTAAACAAATTCGCTATTTTGTATGGATCAGTTATCATTTCATCATAATCATTTAAAATTTTACAAGCAACTACAGGACTTCTGTTCTGGTCTTGTTAAATTGCGCGCACACACCGTCACATAAAACCGACACCCTGAATATCTGTTCAAACGTCGGTATAACAGTCTGGGCCGCTAGTTGGCGCTTGCTCTGTTTTATCGACAAGTTGCATTGTCTGTCATGGCGTAGTGTGTTTCAGAGCCGTGTGAGAAAACCAGTTCCAATGTGATCAAAAACATAGTGTTCATTGTAAAATATCATGATTAGTACATATTATATAATTTCTATTGAAAGTGACTATTAAAATGGACAAGAAAAATGCAATTGAGGGAAACGTCCCTCTAAAGTGCTCGAAGAAAATTATTACGCCAAAGAAGTGTAACTTGTAACGCATGTACATTGTACATAAGTACACACAAGTTTTTTAGGTATTTTTTAGCCATAGGTTTTCAATTCTATCGTGTACTGACTCCAATTTATATTGAATTGTATTGTTTGCTCCAATATTTCAGAATGTTTATATACATTTCTCGTATAAATGTCAGTTAATCTTCTAAAGCCATAACAGTTATAGTTTGAGAAGAACTGATGAATTAATTAAGTTTGGAAATTTACTAGGAATTGTATTTTTAAGCGAAATATGGTATTATGCAAATTATGAATTACTGTACGAACGTACATTTGTGCGTGTATGAGAGCGTATGGCTTACTATTTACTTATTTTGTATATGATTCCTGTAGAATGCATTTGTTTTAATAAAAACGTCAATATGAGAAAATGAATGGTAATTGTATTTAAGGGGGTGTTACGGAGAAAGTATTTGCTGAGTTAGATGTCATAGTTGGCTCAGACCGCTTACAAACATCACTTAATTAGTATGTATTAATACGTTTAATCTTTTACTTTTTCTAATTTACTTAGAATCCCAGATATAGAATAGAATGCCAAACGCCTGCTGAAAAATCGGGAAGAATTGGCTTGTGTCTCTTTGAGAAGCTTTATGCTTTACATTCGGATTAATAATTATAAGTACCTTGAACTCATCTTGAAATATATTTTGTTTATTATACTTCCTTAAAATTCATCGTTATAACGTGATAATATATAATTTTTATGACCAGTTTTGTTTCAGAATTTACCACGTTCTATGATTGATTAGAAGACTTGACATGTTTTAAGGATTGTCAACTTGTCAATAAAATTTTCAAAAAAAATACTAAAATTATGAAAGAAGTTTCTATCTACTTATGTCATAAGATAAGATCATGATAAACAACTTAATGTAGACCTAAATAATGGATGATTAATTTCTGAAGGTCGTGTGCCGTATGTAGTGTTGCCGCACAATTGCCTCCACTCCTTGTCTTCCACAATCTCCAGCGCCTGGGTTATGGTAAGACCTGTAAGGGCCTATACTTAATCGGTCCAGCGAGTTAGGGCTTCGAGGTCGAGTGCCGTCCACTCTGCCAATCGCAATGTTTTTCTACACCTCTACGTGTAACATGTACAAAATGACACTGAGACGCAAGACCTTAATATTATTTATACTATCGTTTATCGCCTGCACCCTTACTCTGTCCAATAGCGATAGTAATATCCACCCCGAAGTTTTTGTAAGCAAAATACCGACAGAGATCTCGATAACAATGCGACATCAGCACTTCAAATATTAGGAGACCTACATCAAACTTGAAAACAAAAACGTTTGTATCACTGTCGCTATTGGAAATTACAGAGTACGGGCACTTAACACTGATCAACCTTACGTGCGTGTTGCACATAAGGCTTGACGTGATTTTAGTAGAATCAAGTATATTTGAAAAAATTATGACAATCTAACAGTCAACCTCACCTGCACTCGTTAAGGTGCGCTTACACGAGGGCAATAATTGCTCGGCGACTCGAATGGACCGATCTGGAGCAATTTCAATAAATTTAATAAATTTCAATAAATTATTTCGGCGATATTGCTTCTAATTGCTCCAGATATTTCATATCGCTCAATGTCGCAGATACGAATTGACGAATATCCAATGGACTTGGAAATTCCTAGCAATTTTTGTATATATCTCATTCGCACTTGTTTGTTTTGCGGCTTACCGTCTTGCTTCCGCGGGGAGAGCGAGAGGTCTAATATAATAATAATAATTTCTAATTACTTTATTTAAAAGTAAATAGAAAAATCTGTTCGTGACATTCTAGTAAAGTTTTTGAATAATATATTATCTAATTCTTGAAAAAAAAACAATTAAATTAAAGAATTAAAGAAAAATTAAAAAAAAATTATTTTTTTTTAATTTAATTTAATTAATTAATTATTTTTTTCTTTAATTGTTTAATTTTATTTTCACAATGAAAATTGCGGCCTCTTTGCCAAAAACGATCGCACCCAGATTTGACGCACCAGGCGCTTATTCCTTTTCTTTCTTTTTTGTTTTTGATTAATAATAAAAAAAGCGCTACAAGCTGCCGCAGCAACAACAATGTCGTCCATAGCGAGCGAATACTGAATTGCTCGTGTAGGAGAGTATTGCCTAGTTGATGAAGTTGCGCCATATCGCTCAATATTGTATTGCGCAGTATTGATGCTTGTTGCCGTTGCCGTAAATTGCTTGATGTAGTCGTGACGTCATAGTTGACGAGTATTGACTGGAATTGAGCAATTTTAGTTGCCCGTGTAAGCGCACCTTTAGGGATTCATTATGAATAGCCGACAGTGGCGTCCTTCACACGCCGCTATACAACGGGTTCAGAAGACGTAAGCAGCAAAGGGGTGGCATTCGTTGTACCACAATCACTGACCAAGTGCGTTGTGGGACCAGTTAGCGATCGCATTATAACACTCCCACAAAAAAACCTACTGTAGAAGAAGTAGAAAGCTTTTACGACACGCTGACTGTAACACAGTTAAAGAACTTCCAAAAAGGGGAGTCAGCTATATCTTGGGGGACTTTAGTACCACAAACGAAGACCATCTACGTGGTGTAGCGGGCAAATACGGTATCGGAGAACAAAATGAACGAGACGAGCGTTTGATGCAGTTCTTCTGCGAAGAAGACTTTATCATTACTAAGTCGCAACATATCATTGATATGCAGAATAAACAGGGTCGGTGATAAGACAAAGCCTTGTGGGAACCTGGCATTCACGGGTTTAAAAGGTCGGAACATGCTCCGTCAATGATGACCTTAATCATCAGATCAGCGAGAAAGCTGAAAATCCAGTTGCACCAAGTGGACAAGAAACTCTCCGCCACTATTTTTAATCGACATTTTTTGATCTGGAGCAAATCAATCCCAAGGATTGGTATCATTTAAATGATCGTCAAATTTATAAAAAGCTTTATTTATCCATTTACGTTTAAGAGAGGTTTGAATTGTGATAATTCTCTAATTTTGCTTGGGAGTTTGTTGTAAAAACGAATACACTTTCCATATAAGGAGCCTTTTCTTCTTCTGGAGCCTGATTGGTCGTACGCTTAGATTAGTTCTGTTTCGAGTAGGAGCATTTGTTTTAAAAACGTTTATAATTTTTTGTACTTACGTACAACAAGGCTTCACAAATATATTGACCAGATAGTGTGAAAACTCTTAAAATATGTCACTTGCAACATCTCAGGCATCAATATTGTCGACCGCTATGTGTACAAATGACAAATCTCCAATGATGACAGCACTGTCTATGATAAAAAGGAATTGTGGAATTGGAATGGTGAAAGATGCTATGTAACGTTTAGGCAAGATATGGAGGAGGAGAGGAATTGTATAAAAACCAAAATCAGACCGATTCCTGCCCTTGTATCTTCCTGTATTGATCAGAAACGTTGATAATAATCTTAAACACATTATTAAAACGACTTTGCCATTATACAAAAGCAAAATAAAATCTTTATATTCCGTATACAACAAATAATGATACTAACGAATTTTATAGGTGTTAGTAGAAATTTGTTATAACACGCTGATCGCTAAATGGTAGGTTATTTTATGTTTGTGTGCCATGTATTCTATGCATGCCTTCTTAAAGCGCCTACAAGATGCTATACTTTTTAATGGGGACCCGTAATGGTTTTATGTTATAAATGCAGTTTCATATTCCTTGAGAAACTAAAACATAAAATGCAAAAAATTTTGTTCTACGACCAAAACTGACAAAGTTATGGGCAAAATACCGAACAAGGTTTACTGACCGCGCGAATGCAAGCGATGACGTCACAAGATCTCAACGCTTGCCCCTGAACATCGGCGCGCCCCGCGCTGTTTATTCTGTTCGCGATACTCGTCCAACACGGAGCGTAACGTCACCGGTTTATACCCAATAGATTAATAAGTAATTTGATTTGTTTAATATTAGAAGATATCGGTTTTGAGCAAGCGCAATCCGATAATCTGCCTAAAGCTGATACCTTCATGGTATTTGATTATCTTAGTAATCATTTAAACTACACAAGCGCTGAAATTCGTGGTTGGAAACTTCAGAGGTAAGCAAATCTCATTATCAAACTAATCAAAACAGCAGGATAATAAGTAGGTAGGTACACATACTTGGACTAGCCTATAAATTACCCAAACGTTTTTGGTTATTCAGCCAGGGCAGTTGTGTTTGTTGTTTAATTACCTACGCCGTTATTTTCAACAATAAAGGGTAAAGCTTATTGCTGCACATTTACTTGTGATGAAACACAAGAAATAATACTAAACATTGAGTATTGTCATGATTGTGCTGCTCAACTGGGAGGTTGTAAGCACGGTGTAGCATTTCTTATGTGGCTTTACTGACGAAGCGAGGAACCATCCCCAACAGTTGCATGAGGTCCAACCATTTGAAAGTCTCTTAATCTTCCAATGCTTCTTTCAACATGTACCCTCAACGAAGCAATCTTCTTTGTTTGCAACACTTCCTCTTTTTGGGTTTTGAGCTTGAACTTACACTAGGTGGTCGTAAATGCTTACACTGTTTTTGTTCTAATAAATGGGCTATATTTTAATCATCTGACCGCCAAAACCAAACTCCCAGGTGTGAGTTCACACAGTCTTCAAAGATCGTGGAATCTGGGGTCCGCCCTCCATACCCCTCAGAAATAAAATTAATCATTCCATCAGGTGTAATGGAAATCAGAAATTTAATGGTGTTGCAATTTTTGTATTGCGACCAAGTTAATGCCTGGTGTGTGGCATTACTTGGTTTTTGAATTTGCACCTCGAAACAATCAATTATTGAGGTCACTTTTACTAAGTTACTGTTTACCACATGAGTAATGATGATATAATAGTTGGTATATGGAGCTACTTACATCAAAATGATCCTCGCAACAATATCTTACAGTGTGGCACGAAAGCGGAACTTTGTCATCCCTCTTTATGACAGTACACCATTTTTTGCGCACTTTCAGGTCCCTTGGCACATTAAAAAACAGTTTTTCAGGTGTACTAGTTGAAGTATTAGTACATTTCGGTACTATACAGTACTTATAATGCAGCATATTTTCACATAAAAACCACAAAACCACAACACGACCCGCGCAGATCGAGTAAGCTTTAATAAATGAGAGCGAGAGCGCGGGCGGTAGGGATCTCGTGACGTCACATGAGTATTTCAGCCGCCCCGCGGTTGGCTTGTACAAAATGTGTAATATCTTCACAACCAATTTACCGATTTCAATGATTTAAAAAGAATTGTACCTAATCGAGTAAAAGAAACACCATTATATAGATAATATATGCATTTTCCGACTTAATACGGGGACCCATTAATTCACAAAAATAGGTAAATTTGTCCTCATTATAATGTTACATAGTAGGTATTTAGTTTAAAATAATTACTGACTTTTCCTGAATTTACTCTAAAAACTAAAACTATTTGTAATAATTTTGATCTTAATTTTTTGGATAGCAATAAAATTTACCACCTCGACCTTACAATCTAGCCTCATTTTAGATGAGATCAAACAATTTATTTATTACTAGCCGTGTCGCGCCCGCTTTGCTGGACGAATTAAAATAAATTTTGTTTCATTTTTTTTTTTTTCATATTTTTATTATTCTTCTTTTTAACTTCCCGCTAAGAAAATTGAAATATTTTGAAAATCGAGTTTTTAACAGATGTTGACGTTTAGAGGTTCTAGGAAGCCTCCCCGAATGTTTCCGCGGTGAAGTCCGTATGGATAAATTTTCATAAAAGTAAAACAGCAATAAAGGAACGTTGGAATTTAATAAATAAATAGCCATAAACCATCTAGGAAAAATTTCGCATCGAATGGTAGTAGTTTCATGGCGATACGATCAGTGGTTTAGGCGTGAAGGAGCCTCAAACGAAGACCATTTTTCTTTTATATTTATTTATTATTATTTGGCTTTCGACCAGGTCTGTGGATCATGTTGCCCTGTCATAGATATATTTTTCACTAGAAAATTCCACCATCTCATACAAATGCAAAAAATTCAATGGGATAATTCCGTTATATTTTGCCCCCCGGTACCCCCGTAAGCCCGTTATGTTTTCTTTTTAATTTTCATTATTCTATATTTTAATACCTTCTGTTAATTATCAATGTCAATGTCTGTTGTTTTGTTGATAGCTGACAATTTAATATTCCATTTGACATTTGCATGTAAACAGCTGTTGCTTCAATCTTCTAGCTTAAAAATAAAATACCTAAATAGAAAACTGTCTAGTGTCTGCGATCTTCAGTATGTTTCAGACACGTTAAAAATATTTTACTAGGCTTTTCTTAATTATCTTTTTAAAACAAATTATTTTCATTTGGTTAAAATTTAAATTGGGATAAGCTATATACGATGGCTACCTATAGAATAAATACAGTTTCAAGAATACTTTTATCCTACAATCGTTCAAATTGTATTAAATTGTGTAGCCAAGGAATCGATGCGAATAGGTGAGTAATAAATACTCTAGTATAGTAAACAACTATTAATAAATATTACGCTCAAATCTTAGACATAAACATGTTTTGCGTTGTATAATCATATGGGGCTGAGTACTTAAAAAAATACTCTTCATGGTTATTACATTTCACAAATATGTAATATTTTTAAAGAAGTATTTTTGTATATATTATAAACCATTTTATCAACAATATCAAACTGTCTCAACGTTGTCAATCTTTAAAAATAAAGTACCTTTACCTTTTTTTTATTGAATATTTACTTAATAAACAAGTCTGATCACTATTGATTTCAGATTCTTGACACAAGAGCGACTAAAACATACAAGTGCTATAAAACATGAAAAGGAAAAATTTAGAACATTTGTAATAACTAGATACATTCAGTATGTGAAAAATTATACTAAAGTGCTGGAGGTAAGATTTCCAGCAGCAATGAAGATGTACAGAGTGTTTAGTATTGGTATAAAAGACTTTCTTAGAGATTTGAAAACATATATCACACTTAGAATCAAGTTCACTAGAGATCAGGGCTTTTCAAAAATGAGTCGACAAGACATCGAACTTTATGAAAAGATGCCAGGAGACATGTGGAAAATAGCACCTGTTTTAATATTGTCTACCATTCCTTTTGGAAACTATATCATATTCCCATTAGCGTAAGTACTTTCCATATTAGCCTCTTTGAAAGAATTCTTTAAATGCTTGTATATGACATAAATATATACAGTTTAAAGTCTATATAAAGACACTCAAGGGACTGTGCATATTTTGATTTTACAAAGAGTTCTTGTTAAATTATACAATTTTTTTCTACATATAGAAAAAAATTAGTTTTACAAAAAGGAATTAAACTTTCTAGTCTGTCTGTTATTTTCGCCTGTCGTTGTTCAATGCACCAGCAACTATGTTGTATTTTTTACTTATTTTATTCATACCTTGCGATATTGAGGCATCTTCAAAGCAATCCGAATTTGTAAACAAAAGAACGGATTTCTTAGAAGTTTGGTAGTTTGGTATATATGATGCCGACAGTCTAGTCAGTTATTATGGGCTAAGACAATAAAGAGACAAAAGAAAATTGAGTGATGTTACATGGTGTTTACACTGTATTTAATATGTTAAGGTATAGAGTAGTATTAGTAAGTTTGAAATTTTTTTAGTCATACTGCATACTGAATACTATTTCTAACCTATTTTCCAGATTACTGAAACCAAAAAAACTGTTGTGCTCTCATTTTTGGTCTATACAACAGAGAGTGGAATTTTCAATGCAAGATTTGACAGAACGTCTAAGACACAACCGTGCTGTGTTTAGAGCTCTTCAAGAAAAACTGGGCAGTATTCCAGAGAGTGATTTAAAAGTGAAGTGGGAAAAAATAATTGCCCTTTTAGGGTCAGGAGTTCACCCAACTCCTAACGATGTAATAGCTTGTGAAAAGTTATTTACAATGTCTCCATATAGTTTAAAAGATCTGTCATACTCGCACATGGTAAGGAAAATTTAAATTTATTCTTAAAATACTATTGATTTATTTATGGAAAAAAACTATCTAATAGATAGATAATCCTGGCTGTCTATAATTTCCAAAATGTATAAATTATTTTCTACCCTTGTCAAAATTGAATGATTAAAAAGTATTATAGTTAACTATTACTATTATAGTACTAAAATATTTATTTATATTTTTAGGGGCAGTTGCTCAAAATGCATGGGTTACAAAAAAGCTTATTTAGGAGGAAAAAACTAAAATATAGAGCATTGTTGCTATGGGAAATGGACAAAGCAATAATTAGGGAAGGTGGCGTGGATGTACTTGGATCTGAATCATTGAGAAATGCATGTCACATACGTGGTTTAAATGGAAGCCACCTATCAAATCAGAACATGCGAGATTGGCTCCAACAATGGTTACAAGTTTCACAAAATATCAACTCAACTTCATATTCTTTATTACTACATTGTCCAATCCTATTTGCCTATAATCATCCACAAAACTGGGTTTTAATATATTAAAATACCGTAGCCAATGTCTGGGTCAGATAGCTAATGAAGAAAAATATTTATGTTCTTATTACACAGACCAATTTAGATAGGTTTGATCAGCGCAAGCACATAATAATAATAATAATAATAATATAGCCTTTAAATTCCGAAACTCTGTCATTTTATATATCTGAACTTTAATATATTTTCACTCCAGTATATCTCGCACATAACAAAGGGATTAATAATCGTCGTACAAAGTGATATTTTTTAAAAACAAGAATGTTGTAGATAGGTTCCTCTTAATAATTTTGATTTAATCAAAATTTGTAAATATGCTCAGTTATTCTTTTGCCTAAAACATTAACTAAACTAAAATCTTTTAAGTTGATTATGCTTTTGTGATATTAATGTTAGCAAATAATTTGTTTAATATAAAATAAATTAGTATTCTAACTTCTTGTGTATTTATAATTACCACTCTTACTCTGAACCATACAAAATATATATGAACCTACAAGCGTATTAACCAATAGGAATAATGTGCGTAACGTTTCGAATTCTCAACATTTATAAAGCAATGACCTCTGTTAAGAAATAGCAAAAATGTTACGCTGTGTAACGCGTGCCTTACATGAAAATATAATCAACCAGTTTGTTGATGAGTCAGACAGTCCCACTAGCTAAATACAAACATATTATAGTAATAGACCAGTAATGTTAAATGCAAAAACTTCTTTTACATCTTTACAACTAAATTGTAAATAATATTTTGAGAATTACACATCTCGGATACAGACCATAAAATCTTTAATAGGTATCAGTAGATGGCATGATAATAAATCGGCGTTTGTAGTGTTTAGCCATTATAACACGCTACTAGATGGAGCCATAGGTACATTGAAAGCTACCAATACTTAAAGGGGAATGAGCAGGAAGTCTGGACTTCTAGAGCCTTCTCTGTATGACCTGAATCGCCGAGACGTGAAGTGTTATTTAAATATATAATTTTGTCCTGACATTATTTCAATTATTCATTTTCTGGTTTCCTTTTGTAAATATCCTATAGTGTTCAGGTTTAAATTATACTGAACATGAACAGATATAAACCACAATAAAAAAAAATCTAAAAGCCGTTATAATAATAATAATGATAAGTGATTGGTATCTACCGTTCACCGTCACAAAGAAGCATCGATCCTTTTCTCCTTTCCCTAGACAAATTACTTTCGCAATATAAAAATTATCGTAACCTAATTTTAGCTGGTGATTTAAACATAGATATCAAATCTTGCAGCGAAGATAAAAATTCGGAAGGCTATTTAAATTTATTAGCATTACATGGAATTCTTCCAGGACATACGTACCCCACAAGAGAAAGCAACTGCATAGACCATCTTATGATAAAAACAACCTTTGAATCTTCTACAATAGTTATAGATGCTCCTATTACAGACCATTGCGCTGTATTAGGCTCAATTACTATCAAAACCAGTACAAAACAGTCTAAAAACTTCATTATAAATAAAATTAACTACGATGCTATTGTGAATGAATTACTGTCAAAAAACTTCAAGGATATTATTAATCTCCAAAACCCAAATTGTACCGCAAAAGCTTTTGTTGATATTATTCAAACTTCAATATTAAACAATTCTCTTAAAATAATAACACCTAGAAGAATACGCTGTATAAAGCCTTGGATAACTCCTGGTCTGGTTAGGTGTATGAAGAATCGGGATCTAATGCACATAAAAAGCAAAAAAGAAACCAATAATATTGTTCTAAAAATTACGTATACGAGGTATAAAAACTATTGCAATGATTTGCTAAAACGCCTTAAGCGAAATTATGAGAAAAGCCAATTAAGCAAACATGTTAAAAATCCTAAACTAAAATGGAAGATAATAGACAGCATAACTAACAGAAATAACAAAAAAGAATCACCCATAGACCTACTCAAAACGGGAACTACACCACAAAACGCTCTTAATAAAGCCAATTCCTATTTTACTAGTATTGGTAAAGAACTAGCTGAAAAAATTATAGCTCAAAAGTTGCACAATACTGATAATCCTGAACGTACCCAAAATCCAGTAAATCCGATGGCCATGCTAGAAACCTCCGAAGAGGAAGTTGAAGCGATCCTAATGAATTTAAATTCAGACAGTGCCACAGGATGGGATGATATCCCTACAAAGCTTCTGTAATCGCTAAAAGCAATAGTAGTTCCTGTTATGACCCATATCACAAACTCCTGCATTGAAACAGGTGTATTCCCTGAAGTATTCAAGATATCAGTCATCCATTCAATTTACAAAGCAGGAAATAGAAACTGTGTCAGTAATTACCGCCCTATATCTGTATTGCCATCTCTCTCTAAGATAGTAGAGAAAATTTTTAAACAAAAGATTAATATTGTACCTTGAAAAAGAAAATATACTGTCAAACAATCAATTTGGCTTTAGAACGGGCAGATCTACAGCAGATGCGGTACTGGAACTTACAGAATATGTTGCCACTCATATTGACAAGCAATATCGATGTGTCGGAGTGTTTTTGGACCTTGCAAAAGCATTCGACACAGTTTCTATCTCTATTTTGCTAAGCAAGATGGAACAAGTTGGTATCAGAGGGACGTCACTGAAAATATTTAAAGACTATCTAAAAAGTAGGAAACAAAGGGAAAAATTGGCAAATGACTACAGTGATGATGCTGTGTGTTGTGAGTATGGAGTGCCGCAGGGTAGCGTCTTGGGTCCAACACTTTTCTTATTGTATATCAACAACTTGTGTGATTTAGATATAAAAACCGGAAGATTATTCACCTTTGCGGATGATACATCTATTGTTTTTCACGGTAGAACTTTGGATGAAGCAAAGTTAAATACCGAAACTGGCTTAAATAAAATAGCAAAATGGCTTAACCATAACCTATTAACTCTTAATACTACTAAAACGAAATTCATTCTCTTTGGAAATACAGTACGATCTCTACCAATTGGAAATGATTTCGGGATTCAACTACACACCTGCCAATACAATGTACAAAATGAATGTAACTGCACCTTTCTGGATAGAACCAGAATAGTTAAATACCTGGGAGTGCTCCTAGACGAAAGATTAACATGGGTCCCACACATTAACTTGCTAGCGGGGAGAATAAGGAGACCCATATGTATTTTTAGGAAGCTGAGGCACGTAGCGGATCACAAACTAATAAAAAATGTGTACACAGCACTGGCTGAGTCTATCTTGAGTTATTGTATCTCTTCTTGGGGTGGTGCCCGAAAGACTCATCTGATAGAAGTAGAAAGAGCACAACGTACCTTACTTAAAGTCATTAAATTTAAACCATTCAGGTACCCTACGGTCGATCTTTATTCAGAATGCGACGTCCTAACCGTCAGACAACTATACATTAAAAATATAATAATTTACCAACATAAAAAATTAATTTATGATGATGCCATCGCAAATAGACGAACACATAGAGTCTGTCCCACCACTCAAGCAAAAACAAGCTACTTACAAAAATTTCAATGTTATACAGGCCCCATGTTGTACAATAGACTGAATAAAATTCTTAATATTTATCCCCTTAATATCTATGAATGTAAAATAAAACTGGTTGAATGGCTAAAAACTCAGAAATATAATGAAATAGAAAACTTGTTTACTAATGTAAAATAATAAAATTTTCCTTTTTAAAATATCTAACTTCAGTCCTAAGAGTGTGAAATGTAAACTAAATATAAAATCTTAATACTAAATTTTAGATTCCGTAATTATATAAATTATAACGACAATAAATTCATATCTCAAATTCAAGTTTCTCATCCACAAGATTTAAAAATATTTGTCGAAGTTCACATTTACTATAGTCTAACCAATTGCAACAACTTTTTTTTAGAGTCTACCCTCATTTAGTTTTATAAATAATAAAAATATAACCCGTATAAATATCTAATGACAAACAACCTAACCAATTTGTTAAAGACACTGGAAGGAACTAGCGTTTAAGATACAGGCTAGGCCTAGTTTAATCGCTAGTGCACATAGATGATAGAATTATTTTATGTACGAGGTTCACCAAAAATAATAGTGAATACACAACGATTCGTTGCATATTGTATGTTTATAACCTTTAGAATGTAAAATTTGATCTAGAATCTAGATGATGTACATACATATCACACAAGTGATCTTTGACCCACGTTCTGCAGACGTCACGGTTCCTATTTGTTGTTGGCCCTTGAGTGCTAGTATCTCCGGCGTTTTTGATGGCACCACTGAAATGCCAGTTTTTCGTTTCGTATAGGTACATTGGTTGCAGTATACTGGATTTTATCAAAAGAGCTCTCCAACAAGTAAAAATATATATCGATAAAATAATAATTAAATAATGATGAAATATAGACTATTTAGACAAAAACAAAAATTAGCTTATACGGCTTAATACGATGCGACGGACGGTTTTTGAGAAATGAAGGTAGTCCATATTACGGAACCGTTGGCGCACTTACCCTATACATAAAAGTCGTATTTATTAGGTGTCTACCTATGTTACTGAAAATTGTTTTCTGAATATTATATATTATACTTTTAAATTAATTTTTATTAAGAATTTACGATGTTAACCCAAAACAAAAAGTATAGAAAATAAACTAATCATATGACTTATAACAGTAAAATTCCCAATTTTTGTTACCGTTACTAATTGAATCTACGTAATTGTTTGTTTATCTCCTGCTATTTAATAATTTCATAAATCAACCCAGAATATTATGCAATTTGCGACGTTGTCGCGCTTGTTTGTTGTTCTCGTTATTCAAAGATTGGCAACCTCGTCCAAACGTCACTGCGTACGAATAATTTTTAAAGCGATGGCTCAACTCTCGCGGAAGTTGTATCATATTTAATTTCAATTTGTTACGTACCTAATCATTTCATAATTTGCTACAGCTGACATCCAACGTCAAAATTTGTAAATATGGGAGAGTTACAGCTTCTCCACAGAAATGAATTGTCTATGTCTACTTTATTAATTAATTGTCTTTGACACAAACTAAAGTATTGATATTAATTTAGCATTAAGGTCTCGTTACTAGGCCATACAATAAAAAATAAAAGAAAGATTAAAATCGTACCCTAAATATTGTATACCATGCAATCTTCTTTTTTTACTTATGGCTAGGTAGAATCAATCTAATTTATATGATAGGCAGTGACATTTTTCACTGTCTGAAACTTTAGTGTTAAACAAGTATTCTGATGACAATTTATTTAATAGTAATCTGTTTTACTATATGCATTATAAATGCAACCGAAAGTAAAAAACCTTATGACAAAAACAAATTAGCCACATGGCAGCTGGAATGTGAATTAGGCATTATTTCCGACCCCGAATGCCCTGTTGATGGTGGATGGTCTGCTTGGACCCCATGGACAAGCTGTCAAGGATCTTGCGATGAAACTGGTCATCGTAGGAGAACAAGAGAATGCATGAATCCACCACCGTCAAAAAATGGGTTACCATGTAGTGGAACAGATTACGAAATGGAAACATGTTACCTTAATAATTGCAGTTTAAAAGATTTCCGTTTATTGGTGAAGGGTGATCCAGCTAGATCTACGGGTCTCAGACAATTAGAGGCAGTTCCCGCTGTTGCAGAACGTTGTTTGCAAATTCAATGTCCGTTTGAAGCAATTGAAGCTGCTTTAGTAACAGAGAACATATGGCAATTAAATGCGGAAGAGATATGGAATGATTTGCTTTGTGTTAAGCGTAATTTAGGATGCCCCGTCACAGGACAGTGGAGTGCGTGGGACTCTTGGTCTATTTGCGGAGCACGTTGCGGAAAGGGTTTGCGATGGAAACAAAGAAAATGCGATACACCTCCTCCTTCAGATGCTCGCCTTACCTGTTCTGGATCCCCATTACAATATGAAGAATGTGAAGGTGATCAATGCGCTATAGAAGAACCGTATCTAGAACATTCGTCTACAGGTTCTTGGACGCCATGGGGCTCTTGGACGGAGTGTTCAGAAAATTGTGGTATGGGTATTAGGCGAAGAAAAAGATTATGCATTGAAAAATATACACCTCATTCGCTTTTTACCTGGAACACAAATTGTCGGGGACAATATGATCAAGTGGAAACTTGCTCGAAAAAAAAATGTAATCTCGATGGTGGATGGTCAGGTTGGAGCGCTTGGGGTGCGTGCTCCCAAACATGTGGGGCAGGTAAACGCTCTAGGTGCAGATCCTGCACGAGACCCTCACCGTTTGGGAAAGGTAAAAATTGCTTCGGATCACGAACTGAAGTTGGAACGTGTCACTTAAAGCCGTGTGAAGTTTATTCTCATACAGTGAGTTTTTTCAACGGTGACTCTGCTTTAGAATATTTTTTTCCGAAACAACACTTCACTTTTTTTCACTTTTATATCCGGTTCATGCCTTTGTCGCCGTCAGGAACAATAGTTCATCGAGGAAAATTGAATGATCCATTTATACATCTAACATTGCATAAATGGCATTTATGTTTGGATATCAGTGGTTCGTCAAAATGTATATTGCCACGCTTTTGTTCACCTAATTCAATAGCTCCCGCTGTTTGGCATTCAGCTCTAGTCACATTCACAAATAATGCAGCTTTATTACGAATTAATGACGCACAAATGCCGTTGAAATATTCCGTGTCATGTAATCCTGAACTAGATAAAAATGTATTATCTATAAGCGTAGGTAAAGGATTTCATGGAGCTGTGGAAGAAATTATTTTTAATTTCATTCCGTTGAGTATGTTCATTGAAAAACAACGACATTCAAGCACTTCATCAAAATTGTTTCCAACATCCGCTTCAAATATTGTATATGACAAGGCCAACCTTGATGAAGCCTTTGTTTCACTAGAAAACGACTATTATATTCGCATACCCTGTTTTAATAAAAGTGAAGACACTTGGCATGTGAAATTGACTTTAAACCCTACAACGGGTGATGGTTTAATCTTCGTCATATACGATAGCTTGATTGGTAATTGGATATTATTAGCATTAGAGAATTTTCGTTTAAAAATTAAATTAAGAGCCGGTGAATGGAAACCCGAATCACTAAGTTCTACTGCGCATCAGGTCGACCAGTGGATAGATTTGAGCATATCCAAAAGAAAGTCAGCAAACGTAATTGAAGCCGCTATAAATGGTAGAGAACGGTTGCATATATTTTTGAATAATGTGCAATTTCAGAAGAGAGATGGTAATAATAGACGTCAAACTTACGTAAATGATTCAAGTGTAGGTATTGACAATATATGTGGTGATATCGATGATAAATACGCTACTGTTTTACCGAACTCCATCCATGACATCAAATGTAGGGATGAATTTTATGTCGGCGACATACCTTTTTATATTAAGAACAATATTTCTGAAGACATCCAAGGGTTTTCCGGCACCATTGCTTCTATACATATTAATGGCGCTTTATTAAACCTTCATAATTGCAATAGAGAAAGAAATGTGGGTAATACTGTTCAGTTATCTTCGCGCACAGCGAGTCTCTCTGGATCTTACCATGAAACAGCGTGGGGTAAATCAAACCTACTTAATCTCACCTGCATATATTCTAAGGTTTTAAGTTCTGTTAAAAGTCAAAGTTATTGGGTAATGTTAGACACAGCTATCTCCGGAAGATTGAGCAGCAAGAATGTTACGGTTTATGATGATGGAAGGATCCTCAGACTTTCGTTACCGGAAGATAAAGAACTGAGAGGGTTTTATACTTGCCGGTCATACTCAAACGATAGAACTCGTAATGTAATCACATACGGCGTCATTGGTAAATTTGAAAACAATTTCATGGGTCCTGATTTCACCACAGCTTTGGCAGTATTTACGACACTTTCCCTAGTAGTATTCACATTAGGATGGCTTATAACAGAAGGTATCAATGATCTTCGCGATGGATATGGGTTTTTCAGAGACATACATCTTACCCCTGAAAAAGAAGCTGAAGCTGTTTGCAATTATATTGACCAAAATATACACTTATTGGGTTCGAAGAGTGCAGCTAGAGTGGCGAAAGCAAGAGCAAGACGCAAAGCAAGGCAATTAACAAGTAGAGCAAGCTTCGCGGCGCAGGAACCAGAAGGTTTAATGGAAATAGATAACAATAACTACGGTTCCGTTATTGAAGAATCACCTTCAACCTCGTTGCTTCAATTACCAGATACAAAATGTCTCCGTCTAGAACCATCTCACCAAGTTTTTAGATGCGAACCGTCGTATGTTAGTTCACCCCGGCACGGCTCTAACATAACTTCCCCTCTATCTAGAATAACGTCCTCGTCGTCTATAGAAAATTCTTCAAGGAATCTCTTCTCAAAGTTACTACTTAATAAAACAAGAACTTCATCAAAACAAAATTTAGGTGCCCAGATATTACATCGAATTAAAAACGAGATAACCTCAAATCGATCACAATTACTAACAATAAAACCATCAGCACTTGTGAATACTTTATCACCAGGGCAGCGAGTATTACAAAAATTCCAGCAGTTAAAAATGGATGATCCTTAACTTATTTAAATTTTACAATTATATCATTTTAAGAAAAAATGATAAGCATGTCTAAAGGATTAAATAAAACAGGAATTTATTGAAGCGTGCCGATATATATTTCTACAGATCTGTTTTACATAGATTAATATTATAACTATTTTTTTTTTCTACAGTTATAGAACCGAATTTATGATATTTATTTAAAGCGCCAATAACGCTACACTTCAGGAAAAAGGCAAAAGACAAGACACATAAAATACGTTTCAAAAACTTATAACAAATTCCATTGAATAGTAAATAAATGCATAAAAGGTATATTTTTTTTAATTATTGTACTACCTATATGACTAGTTATATAATTATAAACTCTAGAAAGATAATAAAATTTTAAACACTGCATATTATATTATTTTACGCAGAACTTAAATAATAATCGAGACAAACTTTTAACCAATATTAAATTCGAGTTTTGACTAGTCTTGGTAAAAAACTCGATATACAATTGTACTTTTAAAAATCATATAATATCTCATACTATAGTAGGTATATATGTAAATGTCTTTTATATAACATGAGCAATAATTAAAAAACTATAATAATAGTAACAAATAAAACACCCTAACGAAAGCAGGCTATTCATAAAATGTAGAGCTTACTACCAACATAAACTAGTTCCTAAAGAAAATATTTTTAACAACACATTGTACGTTTCGTAAAATCAGTAATCATAAAGTAAGAAAACAGATCATTTTATTTATTATACATAAACGACGATTGCATTATTATAGCTATAGACTGTTGACCGAATATCGTTACAATTCAATTCCGATCGCTCGTATTTTTGCCTTAATCGACGTGGTAGTGACGACGTACAGATGGCTCACGACGGCGTGTTGAAATCATAGGTGTTTGCGCCTGCAGTTGATAATATACCGCTGTTCCCAATACGGCACTACTCAATATCACCGACACTGAATAATTAAGTAACAGGTGCTTGTCCGCGGAATCCATGAAAACAGTGAAAAAGCGACCTAAAAGCAATTATTTTCTTTTAATTTTTATACTGACGTAGTAACATTACATAGTTTTATCTAAAAAAACAATACAATGTAGATTAAATGAGGCAGTACTTTTCGGCGCGTTAGCATGATGAATGTAAATAATATAATATAATTTCAAAAGATAGAACACACTGAACACGTTGCTTTTAAAACGATACTCATGTTTTAAATTTGTTATTCATTTCGTTCCCTACAGCTACATTAAATTAGATGTAACAAAAAAGTATACAAAATATATAGCCTAAGATGGAAGACATAATAAATATAAAAAAACGTAAAATTTTTTTTAATAGATTTAACTAAGTACTACCTAATACGGGTATGTCTTGTGATGGTGTGTAAGTGATTGTGTGTATGTGGGGTATGCTGATAATGTAGGTTATTTAACGCTATGGATATTCTTAATACTCCTTTTAAGCATATTCCATAGCTTTCACAATTCGGGGCTTAAACAATGGACATTGTATGTCCGAAATATTATGTTACGAAACCTGAAACTTTCAAAGATATTTTTCGTTAAGACGTCAGCTAACCATACAATGAGTGTTATAAAAATAGACGGTTGCCAATTACAATATAACAATCGCGAATCGCTCTTGGGGCTGACTCTTGACGTAGACGTATCTTAAATAAGCTTAAATCACTTGTATCCTATCGTTATGCTGCAATTTATTTGAACTGTGTCACATGTATTTTTTAAACTATTTGAAACATATGAAATTCATTAATATCGCAAGCAGCTGACACCAAGCATTGTGTAGCTTAGTTGGCAACGAGTTTAGATTCGCGTCGAACCCATGACTCATGGGGAGACCCATGAGATACTCACTGCCTAGCTATTATAGGGAAAGTTATGAATGCAGAAATTTGTCAGCCCAGGCATTATATTTGGCTGTAGTATTTTTTACTAGCCCTGAAAAATTACTAACAACTTTAACAAAGGAAGCTGTATATGCCTTGCCTAGTCAATATTTGCATTAACAAATTTTTAAATAAGAAAGCTGTAACAATATAGATGTTAGCATTCATAACAAGATAAAATAAAAGTATCACCACACTTCGCAAAAATCTTTCATCACAGCAATGAACATTTCCTTTTTATCATCCACATCATATGATTTTACACAATTAAATGTAGATACATAAGTATAAGTAAATATAATAAAACATACACTTACCAGCATTAGTTAAAGCTGACATACCCCAGGTTTCCATTGATATAGCATCTGAATTTGATGCCTTGATCATTCCGATAATGTAAGTTGCCTTAGCAACACCACTCAAAGGCAAACATATTGGCTAAAAAAATAAAATAAGTAAATATTTAAGTTTAAAAATTAATGTATAGTTTTGTTATATGAATTTGTTTACAGTTTTATGTATATTAAAGAAGTATAATATGAATATCACTACTATAAATTATTTTTTAACACTTACAACAAGATAATTAAGGGTCTCCATAGGTATTATTTCAATCAAGAATGCAGACATGGATACAATATATATGACAGAAGTTATTGACGTGTACTTGTTAGCCAGATGTCCTTTAGCTCTTAGTACATAAAACAACATTATATACTCCTGAATCAGTAGAGCTAAGTATTCCAGATAAGTATTTAATGTGTACTTATTTTTAAAATTATACAATGCCATTATAGAGTATCTGTAAAAAACAATACTATTAACTGGTGGCCCTTTGTGTCTTACCAGTAAGAATACAAATATATCTATTTTTCAATTATTTGGCAAGAATTTTATTTGCCTACAAAGTCTAAATTATAATTATTTCTACAGAAATTAAGCACAAAGCCTCTGCTAGAAAAGCATTTCAAAATATTGACAAATCTATAGTCAAGTATTTTATAATAAATTAGTCTGTTTAAATCTAATAATCCTTTAATTTAGCTAAATAATTCTCAACTTTATGAAGTAAAATTTTGATAAAGAAATATTTAGATTGTAACTTATTTAAAAACAATTACCCAACAATTTCCATTGTAATCGCTTGAAGACTTATGCCTTTAATTTCACTTGGCCGCTTGTTCTTTAATTGAAAGATTTGAGGCACTTTTAAAAATAAACATGTGAGTACTATGGTCCAATTTATAAAATCCACAGCAAAAGCTTGTAATTCTACTTTCCAGGTATCCATATTTGTCCTTAAAAAATATATTGAAATAAATCAGCCCCAAAATGAAACAAATTTACTAAATATTTAAGGATATTATTAATACTCACATGATATCGAAATTATTACCAGTTAAAATTTCGGAAACACGAACGACACATGCACTAACGAATGCAATGGTTTGCACAATGCCGGATCACGGTTTGCAGTCAATTGAATATCAAGCTTTTGAGCGTATATTCTCCATCTCCCTCAACCCTCGCCGATTTCAGGGGAGCCTCACCTATCTACACCCGCCGCTACGTTATAATTAGTATAAGCGTAGGTGCACTATGAAGCATTATTACTTACATTATCATGAAAATATTTGTTTTATAAGACTTGGTACTTGAATCATTATAGTTTCTTATCTCACTATTCTTAAAAAAATTATAATGTTTATTTATTTTGGGTTAATTATCCGCAATTGAATTCATCTACAAAAATTGAAATTGTACTTCAAATTACATAAAAAATAGATACATATTACACAGGTACTTAACTATCAAATATGAAGTGTCGGTTGTCATTTGTCAAATGTCATATCTAATGGTCAATGCCATTATTTTATTGCATACCTTATAATATACCATAAAATAATGAACTAACTATTGTAGGTGACTATGAAACTTAAATTCTTATTATTCATCAAACAAATTATATACTATTGGTATGTTATCTAAACCTGGCGGCTTCAACACATTTACACTTTGTGCTTGTGTAGTGTCTGTGAATAAGCGCGAGGTTCGGTGTCAAACTGAATATGCATCATCAAAAGACTGACCGTCTCTCTCGCGCTCGGTCAAGCTTATGAGTATAAAAGAGACAGTTATTGTTTTGCTTTTGCTATTGTTTATGTTGATCTTTACTGTACATGTTGATCTTTTTTCTCATTATTATTTCGTCCAAACATTACCAGGACAATCTCGTGAAATGGTGTACAATGTTTTTAATTATTTTAGGCATCTTAATAAAAACAGTTTAATGAAAAAATGTAATTTTTAATTTGACATCAGATGCGACTGGTGTTTCTAAAGTATTGAAAGAATTGTTAGTGAAGTAAGAGTGAAGTGTGTTGAGCTAGATGGAGCTTATGTCGAATAATGAAAAACATAAAAACTACTCTTTTACGTTCTTAGTCGGGCTTAGAACTTTTGGATCTACCCTCGTATGCTCATAATATTTATATGTATTTGACACATTTTTGTTTATTTACAATCCACCTAACCTTACTAAAACCAGAGTAGACTAAAATATATAGCTTGGACGACGACACGACGGACAGTCTATTCATGATGTATTTATGATTGTATTTCAGTTTGACATCACGTCTCGCGCTTATTCACAGACACTACACAAGCACATAGTGTAAATGTGTTGAAGCCGCCAGCTTTAGTTAACATACCTATACCTTCAGATTGGAGGCGTATGAAATTTAATTTGACACTACGTTGACATTATGTCATATCTTATAGTGTAAAGTAAATAAAATGTGTTTTATTGACATATTATTATAACGACAATCTTTAAAATATAGTAGAAACTAGAAAATGTACTTATTTTGTAATGGTAGGGGGAGCCCAAGAGGGGATTTCGGGATTTACTAAAGCGCGGCAGATTAATATATAGGGGGATACCTTGTACCCGGTTAAGTACCTCCACAAAATATGAGGCCCATATATAAGGCCGCCCGTGAAGGAGACAGGATCAGATTAGTAAAAAAAAATTGACCATCACATATTCCCGAGCGCGTCAGATTAAGGTAGGGTGAGTTAATTACATCCTAAAAAGTGTATATTCCACTAATCTGACAATTTGAGAGTGACGGAAAAAAGGGGAGTTGTAAAAAAAAAACGTCATCTCGACATTCTCGAGCGTAGCTAATTTTTATTTTATTTTGAAGGAAATAATTCAAGAATAATGAAAAATATATAATCTGACGATTTCCGCAAGCCGAAATAACAAAAATTCGTCGATAAAGTTAAATGCGTGCAGCTGCGTGATGCCTACATTTCCTTAAACCGATCGGAATCTACTAAACGGCGTTCTAAATATTTCCCTAAAAATTACATTTCCTGTGAATTTGAACCGATTCGGACCGATAGATTTTGAGAAATTTTGAAAAATCTTAAAAAAATAAGTTTTTTTTTTTTTTAAGTGGTTTCTTTATCGATCAACTTCAAAAACTAATCCGCCTTTGAGCTTGAAAAACCACGTCGATCGCCACCAAGCTGGTCAAAAGCGGTTGATTAGTTCGAGAGATATCGTGAACGAAAGAAACCCGAAAAAGTGTTTTTTGGGATTACTCCGAAATTTGTGGTTCGATCAATTACAATTGCAAAATTACTTATGATGATGATAACACTGCGTCGAATGCCGCCAACCGCGTGAAAATTGCTTGATCCATTCAAAAGTTATTGCGGTTTGAAAATTCCAAAAATAGTGTTCTATGAAACTTCTATCAGACTTTCGAGCTGGGAGAGCTCAAATGCATAGAAATGTTATTTCTTTGAACTCAGCAAACTCAATGGAATTAGCGGGAAGTTGCAGGGATGGCCCTTTAGGTGAACCGTTTTTCTAATTTTTTTTTGCCAGAACAGGCGAATCCCTCTAGATAATCGTCAGATTATGAGACAGTACGTTTAGAACATAAAGATGAACCACATATATCTTAATCTGACGCGCTTGAGTATTTCAAAATTGCGATTTTTTTTTGCAAATTATGAAAATGGCCGTGGGTTTGCCTCCCATCGAAATCGTCAGAGCTTTTTTTTGGTGCACTTAACACTCCCTTAGAAAATCTGACGCGCTCGATAATTTTTATTTTTTTTTCATTTTCAACCCTTAAATATAACCACCCGCATCATGCAAACGATCAGATGTTAACGTACATTATTAAAAATACGTAGGGCATTGATGCTATCAATATCTGACGCGCTCGAGGATGTCCATGCAACAGTTTTTTTTTACATATTTAACAATCTATAGGCGCTTCCCCCACCGATGAAAAGGTATATATCATATAACATTTTTTTCTTCTTATTATCTAAGCTTTGCATCCCAATAGGTCTCTACGACGCTCGAGTAAATCCCCATTTAGCATCGTGGGCTCCCCTACCATAAGAAATGCTGTCGGCAGGCGTTAATTATTGCAATTGTTAATTTGCGTATGCAAATGGCAAATAATTGTTATTTTCCATAAATGTATACAATATTATCATTAATTTTATTATTTACTTTTATATAATATTATTATTAACACTTAATGAAATGAAAAACTAGTTTTGATAGCTGTTGTAGGCGAAGGCGGTACCAGGTAGGATAAGCCTATTGGAGTTAGAATAGCTCTACTTAGGTACGTTAGGAAAAAAATATAATTTACTATCTGAAAATTTATCTGATTTCATATCCTGTACTATAGGAGATTTCAATAAAAGGGTTAATAATTCTCAAGTTAAACTAGACTTTTACTTAGCGCGTGGAAGGAGCTTTTGAGATAAATACATAATATTAAAACTTAAAATTATTTAAAATCAAATGAGAAAAAAAAATATACATAAACAGCATAACATATAAATATATAAAAAAAAACAATTTGTACCAAGATACAAGTAGTTTCTTTTTAAGTCCTTTTTTTATTTGGGAACCACTTTCTTAACGGCGAGCCTAAGTTAAATTGTTGATGAGGTATAATTATGCAGTACAATATGTTGTTGTCATTATTGCTTCGATAACGTCACTTGGCCGGCTGAGTGTCGCCAATGTTAGAGTGAAGATCGTCTTAGAAGCTGCGCAGAAGTTCTTCAAAAGCAGGGGCGCAGCTCCGTACCCATACCATGCCCTCACCCACCACGCCCTTCAAATCAACCGCTATTCTAAAAAACTTAGTACATTGTTTTGCTTAAGTATTTTGTCATAGCTTCTTCTATTACTATTTGATATTCAAAGAAAGTGGAAGTGACTCCACACAAATCATATTGTTTAAGTGTCTAATACAAAAGTGTAAAAATCTCAAAATTAACAGTTAATAAGTTAGTAAAAAGTTTATACAGTTAACGCACAAACAAGTTTGTTGTGATTTAATAAAAGAAACGTTTTATATTAAATTGTGGTGCCTTAAAAATAAGTTGCGTTTTTATAACAGTTTATAGGGAGGGAGACTTCATAATAATATTACAGTTTTGTACAAATTTTATAAGGAAAGTATTCCAATATAATATAACCATTGTTAAGGTGAGTTATGACTAAAATTATAAGAAAATATTTAAGTAATAAGACAACATATTATGTATCTACAAAAACGTTTCAAAATTTATATGATCTCATGTGACACAACATGTTTAGCATCGATAATTTATATTCTGAAAATTGAAAAGATTTTTTACTAATATAAGAATAATCTAAATTCTAAAACAGGAATTACCTCACCCGTTTAATAACGGTTACTTTAATAAGTCTTCGCGAGGATCTGCTAGGCCACTTAATGTATCAGAAAATATAAATTTATCGTTGTATCAATAGTAAGATATTTGTTTTCGAATACAATTCTTAGTTAACCGTATAATATTTATAAATTATTTAAATAAATTTATTGTTGTCAATTATTTTCCATAACAAAACATAGCACAATATGCTTATTCGAATTAATTATCAATCCAAAAATCATCATCAATAATAAATATTACAATAGGCATTTTATTATAAATATTATATATACTGACTAGTCCATAGTAGACAAAAACCATACTTCTTTCCTACGAATCTATTCGTATCCTTGAACAAGTTTTGCCTTCGACCACGTTCATTTCACTACTACCAACCTCCATTACTACGTATCCCATTTCGTGGAACCAGCGCATGATGGTTTTACCTCATTACTCGATTCACTAGTAGTTAATTATGTCCAGTCCACTTCCATTTGTCATCGCTATGCGGCTGCATATGCTGATACACTCAGGGCCGGATTTAGAGGTCTCGGGGAGATCTGGAGGCCTCGGGGCAACAAAGGACTGAAGCCAATTCTTTTCAGTCGAGTTATTCAATTAATAAACAATTTATTGTGCAACCAAGTAGATTCTTTCTGTATTTAACAAACATATAAAAATATATCAACAGTCTCTATTGTGGAGGCCCCTCTTTGGTGGAGGACCCTCCCCTCAATCCGGCCCTGGATAATTTCTTTCTTAACAATGTATCCCGCTGCCAAAGATTAAATAGAGGAATATGACAAGTTGTGATATTCCTCGATTTAATCTCTGTAAGTATCTCCTAAGTTTGCCGAGCCCTATGATAGACCATTATATGTCATACTCGTATAGAACGTTATTAAGTTTGTGTTAAAAAGCCATATAAAGTTTAATGATCTCTTTTATAGTTTTCTTGCCGTCTTCTACGTTCTTCTATGTTTTCAAGCCGTCTTCTATCAAAGTGACAGGTCGGATTTGAGTGTAGATAGTTATATGTTCGTTGCATTATAGTTTTGTGTGTGGTGAATTAGTAAGGTAGGTCCTCGACGTTGCGTTGTTTTTGCATGATACCTAATTATCTACCGTAACCCAAAAATAACCTACGTCGCATAGCCACCGTTGCAATATAAATCATTACTTGTATATTGTCGCACACAGATAACTCTGTTTTCAGGGAATTCTATGTTAATGATATATCTCAATTTTCGAGGTAGTAAGTACTAGTTTTAAGATGTATATTCTGCGCTTGCGACCCTCGCTTTGCGACGTGTATTTTTCTTTTGTAGAGAAGAAGATAATGAAAATTTTAATTATGCGTTACGTTGGGACCACCCGGAAAGTATAACGGACTATCAGATTGTAGACAATGTGCATATAGTCACTAAGATGATGAATATGTGGATTATGAGGATTTTGAACGTGAACATAATCTCTAGAAGATGGTATGTGTTTGTCGTTAACCGTAGGTTCGAGGTAAGAATCATAATTTCATAAGCATTAAAGTTCCATGTCGTAGGAATATTATTCGTACAAGCAGAAGACCTCTGACAACGTCTTGGATGACGCAGAGTTCTTTGCCTAGACACGTGAGCCGCAATATAGAAGATTTTAATTTTCACATAATTGTTATACTAGTTATAATTTTGAAGATTAATTGTTGTTATAAACAAAAGACCGATTATTTATATTACGAAAGTTAAGTGATTTATATCAAAAAGTTTTTAAAATACAATAATTATAACCAAAGCAAACCAAATTATTGTATTATAGTTTGCAAAAAGAGATACATTAGAAAATTGGGCGCCCCTACTTAACTTAATTAATGTCCTATAACCCCTAGTTGGGGCAGAGGGCGTCCACAGTGAGTCTGCATCGCGTTCGGTCTAGAGCCTCATTTCACAAAAGAGATACATTAGAAAATTGGGCGCCCCTGGCGTATGGTTATATGCTGTGTCCACGGTCTAAATCAAATTATATTTCTCTGTCGTTATTATTCTAACAAAGCTTTTAAACATTTTCTACTGTTCCTCTTGAATATTATCAATTTGGTTTATTTTTCATTTACTGTTACAAAAATGTACGTAAATTATTCTCATATAATATTTTTCTCCGCGCATTTCAAGCTTCGCTCTACCTATCTGTGTACTATTCGTTTTACAATTCAATTCTTTTGAAAAAACGCCCTCTAGTACTAATAAGTTGAAATAGTAATGATATCCAATCGACTCCGCAGGATAAAATAACAAAATTGCAAAAAGCTCTAATAGATAGCGCTATTATGCATGAAGTTGCAGTAAGGTTTGATTTTGTAGTAGTTCAATTTTTAATGATAAATTGTTGGTTGTTAATAATGCATTTATTTATTTAGTTATTAAGCTTCAGTCCTAACACAGTCCTAAATCTACTAATTATTTTACAAAATCTTACATCTAAAATGTGTGACAATTAATGTAAGCATAAGTTTCTCAAAAAAAAAAAATAGAAATTAAAAAAATACAATTAAAACATATACCATAATACAAGCACACATTAAAATAAAATAAAATTACAGAAATTCGTTGGCACTTAGAGCAGAAAAAAAGAAGACTCATCAGCAAAACAGCTAAATTAGGTTCGAGAAAGGCACCCCACAATGCTTTCTCTAAAACCGATCAGCCCACTACCGAATATATTCAGCTCCGGATAAGCTGTGTTCAATTTGTTAAAATCGCATTTACGACATAATATAATAAATAACACATTTTAGGTAGATATCCATTTTGGCTAATACGATAATTAATAACAATAGACATAGCAAAATATATAGTACCTACCAGTCTGATGATTAATAAAATGTGATAGTTTTAGGTGCTCTGAAAATTAAAGAGTAAAAACAAAACAAATCCCCAGAGAACTGTCTGCCGTATTATATTTCATCACTGTGCGCCGTAAGTAATATTTAATTTAGTATTAGTCACAAAACCGAAAAATCACTAAAAACATTGTATTTAGTTTTATATTTAGTTAAGTAGTATTTTAAAAGTGCCACCCAAGGCTGTTTTTCCACTTAAATATATGTTGGATGAAATCACTGTTCTTATGCATAGTTAGAACCCCACTGCCCAGAGCATATGCCCTGGCTTAGCTGAGAAATGAAAAATGTCGCTGTGTGTGTGTCAATGTGCGAACGCATGTCCAACAGAATAACATTTAAATCTCAGTAACCAAAATAATGTGATATGAGGGTAATTTTTGTATTCTCAAACTTATGACTCGTTCACTTCAGACCAGTCGCCTACTTAAATATATCTGAACTATTTTCTATAAGCAGCATACAAGATTAAAGGAAAATTTATTTTTGTGTATGATGAAACTTCAAGCTAGATTGTGTCTAAACTTTATTGATTAGCTGGTCCCTTGAGTACCTTAGTTATAATCACAGAAAACGTTCATATGGTGCCTTTGATTCTGTTTAAATTTCGCCAACCGATGTGCCGCTGTGAGTAATCCCTGTTAACTGAAATCCAGGAAATATAACAGTGTTCAATTGGGCGCACAGGTACAGGTGTACGCATGGAAGTACTCTATATTCCCTAACTCTAATATCCCGAAAAAAAAAGCGATCGGCGCGTCATATCGCAAGATCAAGCACGCATGACTGAGCTTTATAAACTCATCCCAACACCCCTGTACTCACATATATGTTTTATACATATGGCACTACCTGTGATTTACAATACATCCATTTTAACCCGAGACCTGATCTCTGGAAAACATTACTGAACCCAATAATGGTGTTATAAAAAATAACGATACTTACTTTTAATACTTTATTTTAATAAAGCTTAAAGGATGTATTGTAAGTCTAGTAGTAGATCATGCTGAAACGAAGTCTTCTGTCGTTGATTACAACTTACATCTAACAAATAAAGCTACAACTTAGATTCTGTTTAACACTTTACTTAATATTTGGTATGAACAGACTACTATATTATAGCTCTGAAAAATTACGATACAAACAGTCTACTTTACATGGAAACAACATCAAATACCATAAATTCAATTTTAGATTAATCGTCTATTTAATATTCAGATGGTCGCAGTTACGATAATTAATATCAGTAAATAGGTATAAGTAAATGTTTAATAGTTACTAAATCATGACTTAAGATTTCTAACAAGACTTTTAGCCTAGCCAGCTACGGTGACTCGCAACGCTGCAGCTGTTCGAACTTTGGCTTCGGACCAACGGATTTTTCTCTTCATGTGCCTAACAAAAGCCTCAAGTCAAAGACCCAATCGACGACGAGGCATCCCGATCACTTATTATCGGCTTATCGCTAAGGTGCAAGAAGTAATTGTAGATTGAATTCGCCTCTACAATTCGCGTTATTGTTTTATTCCATAACCCCAATCATAATACCTTAAAATTTTAAAGCAAATAATAATATAACCCCTTTATTCATAATCACCCAAGCTATCGACCGTGATTTTAGTTTCTTATCACTACGTGTTTTGTGCCGTTCGGTGCGATGATAAATCTAATAGATTTTTTCTTCTTTTTTATTAACACGTAACATAACAACAAGTAAGCACATAATAGGAAAAGTCGGCCGTATAAAATAAAATATGTATTAAATGCAACCATTATCGTAAAAATCGATAGGCCTCACCTTTACATGTACTATATAGGTCGTGCAGATATTATGCTATACAAAATGGATGAATTTTGAATGAAAGTAATTAGAAAGAGTAATAAATAATCCATATAGCAAAGAGTAACAAGGATGTAGCGACTATATAGCTTGTTCTCGACGTTCCCGCCCCTGAAATTCATGACCTTGAAAGGGTGTGTTTATAGACAATCCGACGCGAAGAATGCACTAGCTGCCTGCTTCTCCCGCCATTTCTAAAAACGCATTCGTCGGGGCATGATCTCTTACAATGTTTTCTATCCCGAAACAAGTTGTCTTGGAAATATTCCTATTATTATGTGAGTAGTAACTTATTTCATACTAAGCTCTCTTGACGTGAATCAATAATAATTTCCAGTTTAGATTTTCGTTTGTATTTTAAACTTTTCTCATAAATATTAATTTTTTTTAGTGGTTAATGAAATATATTATTAATAATTAGAAAAAAATATTGTTTCAAAATTAATTATTGAATTTTTGTATACGTATTGTAGATTTTAATAATATCTGTAAAACTTATTGTGTAACGCGAAATTTTTAAAGTGATTTTTAGAATAAATCGAGTGCAAGTGTGTAATTGGTTTATTAAACGAGATTTCGATGCGAACTGCGTGATGCGTGTGTTTCAATTGATAAGGCACAAAAGCCTGATCTCATTTGACTAGTCATATAATTGATGTTAGAAGTAGAAGAAAAGTATCCAAGTGCTACGGGGTTTATTTAAATTTACCAATATATTTTAAAACGGCAATTTTTTGATCTCAATATTTTGTCCACAGCTTTAGCTACCTCAATGTATGGAGTTGCGACCTACTCTACCGATCCAAACAGCAACCAAACGTTTTCACCCGTGACGTTCAATAAAGAGTGGCCTGAAGTCTGGCGACTCCTTATCATGCTCACATTGGCTACAATGGGAACCATTTTTAATGGATTCTTCGTGGGTTCGTTCTTCGTGGAGCGCCGGCTTTGTCGAGCTGGTATGTATTTTTGGCTTTTTGTAACAAATGTTAAATGATTGTAGGCTTCTCTGATGTAGTCACACCGCCCACATACCTCTACAAAGTGCGTTATAACTGGCTAAGAACCATGGACATATAGCTTAGGCTTATATCACCATTTATTTTTATTGTGTAATTGAACATTTACAATTTGTTAAAAACGAAAGTGTTTATAATTAATATGTACACCTGAATCTTTATTTTAATATTCCCATGAACTAAACATACCTTAATCTAAACTTCTAAAATATAGCCTCATACTATTATTTCAACCTGTAAAACTCGGATCGAATCAATAAATTTTCACGAGTTACTATTAAAAGACCACTCTGACTGAGAGAGAGGCTATGTCAGTATTGCATATTAAATATCAACAGTTTATAACGAATAGATTTTGCCACGTTAGGGGCAAGGTAGAGAGTGATTGACACGCAATAATTTCTTAATTATTGCATGCATTGCCTATTAAATATCAACAGTTTATAACGAATAGATTTTGCCACGTTAGGGGCAAGGTAGAGAGTGATTGACATGCAATAATTTCTTAATTATTGCATGTCAATCACATCGGAGGCTCGAGTGGGTGGACATTGCAACCCTCCACATACCCAACTAACATGAATTTTGTCGCTTCAAACGCTATTCGAGAAACGCGTTAAATTCCAATGCTACTCGATATGTCAGTAGCATTGAAGCTCCTTTTTGATCATTTTCTATCTGCCTCGTAATTAGCTCTGCTGATATGTATTAATTAAATATTTGTTTCTACATATCTTTAGATTTTACTTTATTTTATTTAAGATATAGTAACGTGTTATTTTGAGTTTTGTTTTTGTTTGATAATAATTTTTGCATTACTTGTAGAGGGTAGAGAGGGTAGAGACCCTCTGTAGGTGTTTCTTTTTCATTGTTCCACTTTAGGGTTGCCTGGAAGAAATCGCTTGTTAGCGATAAGGCCGCCCGTTACCTTATAACTTTTGTAACCTGTTTTTTATTTTTGTTATGCGTATGTTTTTGATTAAAGTAATAAAGTATAAATAAATAAATAAATATGTCACAAAAGGATTAACGCTATTACGCTATGAAGCAGCCTTATTAATTGCAAATACAATGTCAAATATGTGCATTTAATTAATTAGATAATTGGTTAATAGGTGTACAGAGTTGTAAATGATGCCCATGGTTTTTAATATTAGGCATTGAATTGTTTCATTATACAAGTGTGCTGAATTACGCATGTAGGATTAGGTTTCGGTATATCAGTTATATAGAAGTTAGTAAATAGATAGCCCTTTGTTATAGAAAAATTAATTTGAATCGGATTGTAGTTTGCATCCACTATTAAGCTGTAGTAAATTAAAGGGCTAAATTAACAATTTAAAACCAGATACATGCATTTGCTACAAAATCAATAAATTGTATCCGTTATATCTATTGAATATCAAGTTAAAATTATTCACCCGTAACCTCTGTCCACATATCGTATGTGTACTATAAGGATAAAATATTAATTAATCATTTAATCTCGCCCTGTTCATAATAAGACTATTGTGTTTTCATTTAATATGTTGTAATGATAATAAATTGAACTGATATAATCTGCTAATAGTTAATATTTTATACGAATGGCAGTATGCAGTACAATATATTATAATAATTCTATTGTTGTAGGTTTGGCCTATCTTGCGTGTATTGGATTGACTGACACGATAATTACCAGTGTGATTTTGCCTATGTCAACGGTGATTCTTCTGTCGCGAGACTGGGATGACGTGAATTCTTGCAATGTCGTACATTGTCTTGGAATGTCTGCAGTTTACTGCTACTCTCTGTTCTTCATGGTAAGTATAATGACGGAAAGCTACTATTCGGTTTTCCTCAACACTGAACCATTTCCTTGGTTACAGTTAACTGCCATTGAAGAGTATTTGCGAATATGTTGCCCCAAACAAGTTTACGGAATCATTACTCGTGGCAACGTTACAATCACCGCCATTGCAGTTTTCGTATTGAGCTTTACGTTGGGTTCTGTTGGTGTCTATTTGGATCTTGATTATGACTATTGCGAACGACTACATTATGGAAATACCTATTATAGAGCAATTTCCGTTGTTATGCTTCACCTAATACCTTGCATTTTTACTTTTTATTACCTCTTTACGGCACATCTTAGCGTTTTTCGACGGGCTGCTACACAACCTAGGTACAGGCGTTCTCATGCATACGGCCGCGACAGTTCAATCACTGCACTGAATCTTACATCATACATTATATTTTTTATTGTCTGGATCCCGTATGTAATTATTTCTTTTAACTTGGGCGCAGCAAGTGATGATCAATATTACAATAGCATTTGGTTCGGTCATGCACGTGCTGTTCTTGCGACTTCCTTGTATTGTATCTTTGATCGGATCTTTAGACGTGCTTTTGTTTATCTTTTTAACTACTGTTGTTGCAAGAGAAGCCTATCAGGTCAACTAGCGCCTCGCCACCGAAGGGAATACGGCACAAGAGTACGTTTATTGCATCCTCACATGTTTATGGCTCGTAGCGCTCAGATACGTCTCGCAGGTCGAGCAAGAGCGGTATCCCTCATTCGTGAAACTCAACATTTGTAAACAGATTCCCAACGATTATACGGTACAAAGCTCTCGGCTACTGGATTCTGGGATCGAATGGAATGATATTTAAACTAATGTATCAGTTATCGCTGAAAGTAGATAAAAAAAATATCGATGTATAGATTAAGTATTGATCGTATTAAGCCCTATACTTGTATCAGTCGCTTTGTTTCATTTCAAACCAGTTGTTGTATTTATATTCTTCAGTTTGTATCATCACATAATATTGTGTATCAATCAATCCCATCAGTTGTGGATTTGAAACAAGCCAAATGTTATTGAAAGAATTGTTTAGATTAACTTTGTAATAATTTTGTCTTACTGGTGCTAGGCCCTAACTTCAAAGAAGGATGTGGGAAGTTTATTAGTGTAATGTGCTGTGATAACATAAGGGTAACAAGAGATTTTGATTCGCGCCGGCTATCAGAAATCTTTCATTCATTCTTTTAAATTATATCCATTCCACAATAAATGATTATAAATTCTTAATAAGAATATAATAACTATTAATGAGTTTAAAAAAAAATATTAATTTATTACTATAAGTCGTTAGAGCAAAATTTATTGTATAAGGCAATATTGCCTTTATTAAATGATTAAAGATTGGGAACAATTATTAAGGACGTGTATCATCTGTGGTTTGAATCAATTTAATGCGATCAAATATAATATTTAAAAAAATTGTTAATCTATTTACATAAATATAATATGATTATATACGAAAGGTATAGAGATATATGATAGATTGTGGTTTAGAATCTACTAGAAAGAACTATTAAGTTTTCGTAAATCAAATATATGTTTCTTAAATAAGTATTGATATTTTATGTCACCAATATAATCTTACGAGTTACGCTTAGCATTTTATCTATATGCAATGTGCTATTTTTCTCTTTCGCTTATTATTTTGTTAAAATAAATTTCCAGTAGTTCCACGACTGATATCTTTTTGTCTTTTTACTTGCTTTTTATAAATATATTTTGTCAACTATTGACACAGCTTTTGCTTATCGATCAAATTATTTAGTAGTTGTGGTAATAAAATATATTCCGTAAGAGTTCACCGTTGAAAGTTACTATATCAATGTTCACTATGTGTAATCGTATTAATGGTCACCTGTTTATCGAGTGCCAACTTACATCTAATTATAGCTCATATTTGAATAAAAAAATTGTCATTCAAAGTTTATTAATTTTGTCAAATATCAAATTAATCCTATTAACTAATCTTATGTCCAATGTTAAAATTAATCGAATTTATCGTGATTATCTTTCTTCTAGCCTATTTTATATTAAATATTTATACTTCTTATACTATATAAAATTATATTATTCATACTTGTTACTAAATTAAGACCTTTAAAAGTGTTTTGTATTGGATTTATTCTTGAATTTTGTGTCGACAATTGTGACTTACGAGCTTTTTACTTTTGCTTAATGAGCTATAAAAAGATAATGTTTAGAAAATAAGCTTTTTCATCTACTATTTCTGATTGAATAACCAAATCTATGTGTTGTTAAATATCAATTGTATAACTTAATCAATATATTGTAACCACTATGAAATTATCAATAAAGTTTTGGTCTCTGCACTTTTTACTTTTATTTCCCTTTTGACTTTTGTAAAGAAGAAAAATTTAATTAATCTTTATTTGGTAATATAAATTCGTATAGGTACTATTCGTAATTACTATACTATTTGTATAAGACACCGCTTAGTAAATAAATACTAAACAGACACCAATATTTTATATACACAAAAAATCATAATATGACGGAGAGAGAACAATCAAATCAATAAAGTAACTTGGAAGTGTAATATTGAAATTTAAACTCTTAAGATTTGTTTGTGCTGTAGAAAATGCAAGGTCATATGACTTTGCGCATCACGGAAGTTTCAGAGAGAACTGAAATATAGAGTGCATTCCCGATTTTGAGTAAGCTACCGTTTCTGCGCACAAATGCAGGGGGCGATGAGAGTACAATAAACAGATGTTTTTGTAATTTTTGAGGTAAAGCTTAGTGGGTAAGCACACTATTTATGGTTAGCGCGCGATTTTGTTGAATGTCAATCGTCATCATAATAAAATAGCCTTGCTCAACAGTTTTTTGGGCTACTAACTATAACGGTGAAAGGCGGACGCACGGTGGGGGCAAGCCAGGCGAGGCATAGCCGGGCCTGGCAGTCTGCGTTCGTGCATGCACGTGTATACGACCTTAACAGGCAAGTGCTCGAAGCCCGATACGTCAAATGGAAAACTTTTACTTTCGCGCGGTATATTGAAAAACTGTAAGCGATTAGTGTCTGTGAACGTGTGTATCATGCTTAAGTGAAACTTAGAAAAATATAAGTTTTATGATGGCTGGAAACCATTGCAAAATGTACCTATGCTTATATTTTATTGTTTGGAGCGTTGCTTTCGTGTCAACTCAAACCCAAGGTGAGTCAAACTTATTAACCGCGAAACTTCCCTTTATCGTGAAAACTACGTATATGGCAACTCTTGCTACCGTGTTCAAACTTTAGCAAGCTTATGTCGAGCAGTTAGCTCACAGATTACCCCTATTTGTTTTATGTTACTTCATCCATACTTCGTGCTTGGAATGCAGTGGAAGGGATTATAATTAAGGAACCATTACACCTGTACATTAATAACTTACATATGGATTACTATAATATGCGTTGGATTTGATTGAATATTTAATTTCACTTAAACAGTTATATAATTATATATATATATATATATATATATATATATATATATCTTCATATATCTATTCCTAATAGAACACAAATTTTAACACGTGATAAATATAAATGTTTAATAGTCTATTTGGCGAAAACAGGTTTCGAAGATTGCTGATTGAACTTAAAACAAAATAAAATTTTGTATAACTTTACTTCAAAGTAAATCAATTCTTCATTTTTATGCGTTTATAGACACTAGTGCATTACGGTTCTCAGTAGGCTATAGTCTCGGCAACCCCCGGGGCATGGAGACTAATAACAATAAATCATTAAATCATGAAATACTAAAACAATGAATTGTAATTTTAAAATAAGTATAAAATACTTGCTTTATAAAAAATTTATGTTTAATGATTGTAACAAATTAAACACGAAATTGCATAACGACATTATAATTTTATGCTAATTACATGAAGAACTTAATTACAAAAACTCGCTTTCTTTTGCTCTACTTCTGCAACTATGATTACTTCTAATTATCGATAACTTCTCATTTTTAAGCTTTTTGTAATGCTTGAAGAGAAATAAATAATGATTAGAGTTTATTTTGAGAGCAGTATTGGTCCAGTGGCTTTGGTATGTGACTCTCATCTCTCAGGTCGTAGGTTCGCTCCCCGGGACCAATGGACTTTCTGATTTAGAAAGAGACAAGTGATTACAAAACATATACAGAAACCTAAGATCTGGGACCTTAAAAGTTTTTAACGCTATTAGTGTTAGTTTTAAGGTTTTCTTCAGGTTGAACTGATAATTCGCTTAATCTAATCTAATAAATTTTCCATTAAAAAATACTTTTTGAACTTAGTTTAGAATATACCTGCTGTCATTATTCTATTACTATTCGATTAATTCGTTTAGACTAACGGCGCTGTTTTTTTAAAAGAAATATACAGAATCTAATAGATTTAATTAATTAAATGTGTCGTCGTGTCCGTATATTTTTATTATACATACAATAAAATCAGATACATATATGATATGATAAATATGATATATATATGATAATATAAATAAATCACTAAAATGAATTTCATTCGTTTGGTCCCTGTGGTACCTTTAATGCTGCCAGCATTTCTTCGTTGTTTTGCGTTATTTATTCGAGCGAGACAAGTACCAGCTCTGGGATCACCGGTACTGTCTACCAGAAGCCAACGTATTATTTAGCGGCTGTGCACTTAAACGCCACGGCCCAACAGTTTTTGTTATGAGGGATGTTGTGTGGTAGGTGAGGTGCGGCTTTATTAAATTATTATTATTACTAGCTTTGTACAACTACTATTATGTACAGCTTAGGTTAAACATAAACATTAAACTTACTGGTATATTCGCGAATTTTAAAGTATATGCAAAATAAAATACATACATTACTTTATGATAACCTCATTTTACTAATAAACGCTAGCTTATTTAAAATTAATTCCCCTCTTCATAATTGCACCGGTTTCACTTGCAATACGGATCAGTTTTGATGGTCTGGTTTACGGCTTTTGTTCGACATCCTGGTGGACAGAAAAACTGTGTCTACTTTATATTTCCACCACACTATTGTAAACTTCGTAATTATGTTAACACTCATAATAAAAATTGTCCCTTCTCGTCACAGCGTACACATAATATGTCCGAAAGAGACAAAAGAACACCACTGTTAAAAGATTTCAATTAGTCTGATATAGTTTTAATTAATAAGTTTATATGTAATGTAATCGTATGCCATTCGCTGGATATGGAATTGAGATGCGTCATTTCAGTAATAATAATTATAATAAAAGTCTTTTATTTCAGATACTTTAAATTTAAGTACATTTCTATATCTATCATCTCATTCTTCCTAGATATCTGTAAGCCCTTTTTTGGCAAAGGCCTCCTAGATATCCCGCCATTTCTGTCTGCACTGTGACACTCTCTGCCGGTACTTCCTCCGGTTCTTCCCTTCATCTGGTTTATCCACCTTCTAAATTGTCTTTCTCTAGTAGATACGTTTATTGTACCTTGGGCACCAGTTTCATACTTTCTTGTTCCTTTTCTGTTCCTTTTGCCATGTGTCATAAAGATGATAAATAAAATTCAGACTTATTAAAATCCTCAATAATATATCTACTGACGTAGGCAATTGTTTTTTTTAAGTTTATTCCCATAGGGTACTGCGAACAACAAGGCTGGTGTGGGTGGACGAACTTTGGTATTACATCCTAACTCTTGGCAAACTAAGTTACTGAGAACGCCTTATAGGAACAATAAAAATCTCCAT